AATAACTCGAGAAGTCTTTCCATAAAAAATGGAAGACTTTCCTAATTCTCGCGTGTGATAACAGGTACTGTATTACCAAATGAGACCTCTCACCAACCACTGGCCAAACTGCTCATTCCAACCTACAGCTAACCACCAAGGACCAGCAGCAGCATCTCTCACCCAAGGATTCCATAGCCCAAGCCATCTTACATATGACCCAAGAATAAAAACCCACCGAGTAGAAAAGAAAATTAAAAGGAGGGATTAGGTGAAGTCAAATAATACAGTTCAAAAGATTGCTCTCCAGAAAGAATTTGAATTACCGAGTTGTTACTAAGCTGTTCTCTGATGTAACAAAATGGCAAGATGGCAAGATGACTAAAATGGCAAGAGAAAATGATAAAGTAGGGTAACACTCACCCGGGCAGCAGGACAATGACTGAAAAGGGCTGGTGGGAGAAAAGACAGCAGTTTGGAAAAGTAGGTACCAGCACAGCCACAGATCCAAGGATGGGCAACAGGAGGCAACATACTGATGATGCCCCATAAAAAGTGGAAAATAAACCAGGTTACAAGGGGTTTGGTTGCTATACTATATGTCCTTAGCCCTTCTCATCTTACATGCAAAGGCAGAAAAACACTGTAAAGTAAGCGTATCTCCACAAGTTATGCGCCAAAGAGTAAACCTGTAGTTAGCCAATCTTGACTAAGCCAATGAACAGAGCACATGAATAAAGCACAGAGCACAAAATAAAATATAATGTAAAAAGCTTACTGGTCCATACAAGGTAGCTCCTATTTATATCCACTACAAACTCGTTCATATGCATGTCCAACCTATGGTTGAAATAAAGTGATCCTACATCTATTACACTACCTGGTAATTTGCTTTATAATCACCTCTTCCAACCAGCATTTATCAAAGTATTTCCTGAATCTAATCAGTCCCCGTGGTGAAATGGTAAGACACTCGCCTGGCGTTTCGCGAATGCTTTGTCCTGGGTTCGTATCCTTACCGGGCAGTATTTACTGGGTGCCAATCCTTAACTGTAGCCTGTTTACCCAACAGTAAAATGGGTACCTGGTTGTTAAACAATTTGGCAGTTGTATTCTGGGTAACATAGGATTAAGGACTTGCCCGAAACGTAAACACGTGCTAGTGGCCATATTTACATCTTTATTTATATTCCATTTGTTATACCCTTTCATCTATTTATAAACTTCAATCCTATCACACTGCACTTAATTTTTTTTTTTAGATAATTTAAATACCTTTCCAATCACTTCATAAGTAAGGTTTCTAATTCCAGAGATTAACTGTCATATTTCTCTGTAAACGTTCAAGTGAATTTATGTTCATTCTATTGCAAAGACCAAAACTGAACTGCATAATCTAAATGGGGCCTAACAAGGGCAAGATATAGCTGAAGAATATTAATAGATATGTTGCTGCTAATACTTTTAGAAAGAAATTCCAGTATCCTATTTACTGTATTTTGCACATTTATGCCATGATTCTTTGGCATACGACTCTTACTAAATAGGATTCCTAGATATTTTTTTTACAATCAGACTTCACCTTAAACATTGTCTAGTTGAGATCTGATAACTTCCATATTACCTAGGCTCATAACCCTACACTTTTCACATTCAATTTCATCTGCCAATCTTTTGTCTACTTTGAAAGCCCATCTCGGTCATCTTGTAGCATTGTTGTGTCTTTCAGAACTTATTTCCTACCCTCCCTGGTGGAGGCGGAGACAAATGGGCAAAAATGTTCCTTTCACCCTGATGCCCCTGTTACCTAGCAGTAAATAGGCACCTGGGAGTTAGACAGCTGCTACAGGCTGCTTCCTGGGGGGTGGAGGCCTGGTCGAGGACTGGATGCTAAGCTCCGAAATTATCTCAAGATAACCTCAAGACCACCTTATTTTTATATCATTTGTAAATTTGCAAATGGTTAGTTGAGGCCAGTTGATAGTGCCAAAGTGATGCAAATGTGCAGTGTGTGTTGTAATGAGCCCCCCCCCCCCTTGATAACAAGTCACTCACTAAAGAATTTGTTTTTGCATATCATAACTGGGATGAAATAGATAAAGAAGTTGCCCTTTTCAAACACTATACAAATCTTGGCAAAGCAATAGAGATGTGAATGAAGTGGTAAAGACTTTCAAGAGCTAAGTCACTGTTGTGTTCACCAGAACTGAACTTGCAATGACAAAGTGAAAATATTTGGGAATGCGCAAAGACTAGTCACAACACACACATGAACAAAATAGAACACTACTATCAGAGCATAGCAGATAAACAGGGCCCACAGGACACAAAAAACAAGTTTTATGAATGAAATTATATCGTCTTAACTCCTGAGGTCCATGCACGCTAAGCAACAGTTAAGGAGTACAAGAGCTGGCTAGAGTCGGTGAACCCTGAGTTGCGAGATCTGCAACCTGATATTCGGTGACAGGTTAGATCAGACAGCCTACCCAGTAGTTAGTCAGAGCCCTTGTTAGGCAGTGACCATTATTTGCAAGAGATAACTTGAAAAGACTTTGATTTTCTGTGGAAAGACCTTCTGACAAGTCATTTCAAGACTAGACTGAATATCTACAATGACAACCTCAGCATATTATGACCGTATAGGAATACATACTTACAATGTCGTGTTGTAGGGAATGTGTATGTCATACCGACTGCATGATCCCACACCCAAACAAATGGCGAGATCTTTTTTTTTTTTTTTTCTTTTTTTTTTGAGATATATACAAGAGTTGTTACATTCTTGTACAGCCATTAGTACGCGTAGCGTTTCGGGCAGGTCCCTGGAATATGATCCCCTGCCGCGAAGAATCGTTAATTTTTATAATTGCAATTTATAATTGCAAAAATAATTGCATGAGGAAACAGCAAAATGCAAATGTTCACAGACACATTTCCCAAAAGTTAAAATATTCCTTTAACAACTACCAGTGTATGTCAAATGCAGCCATTTACTACTGACAAATTTCCTTCGCAGTACCATAATGACTCTTAATTACTTTTTACTATCTTGTATGAGTGTGTTGGACATACTTGAAAATAACAAACTACAAGACCTTCATCAATAAGAACTTATCCTCATAATAAATAAAAATCTTTACAAGAATTATCCAAATTGAGTAAAATTGTTTAATAAAATGCATGACTGAATTTTAGATTCAGACATGTAATACCGGTATTATAAAGAATGATATAAAACATTTCATCAACATCTAGTTAAAACCAAGAGTAATGCATGATAAATCTAATACATAATTCTTTTTTCATCACTTACAGAAATCTTTGGAGGACTAGGAATCTAATGAGCAGCAAAATTAATGACAACCAGTGAATAGGACTCAAAATGAAGATAAATTTTCCATCGAACTCATTACAATATGGAACAATTATCAGTCGATACCCCCCAGAACACAAGAATCACTCTGTGCCAGTGTGGTGCCATCTCACCCTGTGCCACTGTAAGGTCATTAACCTCATCCTGTATCATTGTAGGGGCCATAAATCTCACCCATTGCCACTATAGGGTCATAAATTTGACCCTTTATCACTGGGCTATGTAGCACCATTAAATGTGTGGGATAATCATAGGGGTGCTAAATATCACTAAGGATGCCAATACAAGAACAAAAAAGCACAAGGCGAACGATATCAAAGGTTTCCGATTCACCAAGAATACTATCGAGGGACAAGTGACCGCGAGGAACGGTCAGGAAGCAAGACACACAGATGTCCTGGAAGTCAGGACATTTAACAAGGATATGCATGACCATATGAGGGACAACGTAGTTAGGACAATAAGGAGCAGGGCAGCGCTCCATGAAGTGCCCGTGAGTTAAACGTGTATGGCCAATACGTATCCTCGCCAGTGCCGTTTCCCACCGCCGGTTACGGTGCTAGGAGGAAGGCCATGGGGACACACTACCCATAAGAGCACGCAGTTTGTTACCAGTAACAGAAGACTCTGCCAATGGGCAAGAATGGAGGAATGAATAACTGGGTAAAAGTCGGAGTAAGGAACACCTTTACGGGAGATGAGACAGGTGCAGATATCTTCCTTAGCGGCAGGGTCCGCACGCTCATTTAAGTTCACACCATTATGGCTGGGAACCCAGCAAAACTTCACTGTCTTAAATCTACTGGAGATAAGAACTGAAGAATTTACTTCTTCCGAATTTACACAAAATTCTGAACTGAAGAATTTACACAACTGAAGTTCAGAGTAAAGTAACTTAGAGAAGGAAAGTGGCTAGTGCAATGTTAAGTGCTTTTTGTCGATGTTGGTGCTTTTTTCTCAAGTCAGAAAAAAGGAATAAATGCAGTTGGAGGGCTGAATATGAGTAATAGTTCAAGTAATGTATAGATGCAAATATTTATAATATAATAGGAGTGGGAAAAACAGGGTATAATCGGACAATCCCAGAAGTATATATGGTGTTAAGAAAACAGATAAAAATAAGGTATGAAAATTATACATGTGGAGTGAAAAAGTTATCAAACAAGAAGACTGTAGAATGCATACTGAAATGGCTTGTGCATGTTGAACAAATATAACTACCTGAATTTACCTGAGGCTACCATTTCTTAGTTTCAATGAGGACAGGAAGCTGGCAGCTTGTCAAAGGTCCCCATATTGTTCCCGAGGATTTTTTCCAGTTGAATTTTAACCCCTGCACTGCACACCTGTTTCTAGCAAAAATTTCATGGTGCAGTTGTTAAGGACATATTTTTGTTGTTTTATAAATACTCAGCTAATGTCAATGTCGAAATGTTTCCAAACGCAATCATTTTCATTTCAAATCACAGAGCGATGAAAACATAAAAAAAAATTTAAAATATGGCCTAATTAAAAAAAAAAAAAAATTGCACAACCCTCAGAGAGCCTTAAGGGGCTTTACGCAGTGCAGTAGTAGTGCCTTTGCATTTATAACTTCTGTGAGTAGGAGCTTCCACGGGTTTACCCTTAGGGTGAAAAAGCATCTCTTGCTTCTGTCCTGAATTGTGCTTGTTGAGCTTGTAGCCGTTTCCCCTTTTATGGGTTACATTTAACCTTTTAAGGAAGTGGTTTGGATTAATACCTTCCAATTTGTTCAGTATTTTGAAGGTCTCTGAGATCAGCCTTATTATGTCTGGTTTGTAGTAGTTTTATTCCTATGGCCCTCAACCATTCCTGGTACAAGAGTTAAATTGGTTCTGGATTAGTTACTCTGTGTTGAGTTTTCTCTGAGAAAGCAGATATGTCCTTTAGAAGGTGAGGTTTCCATGCATGGATACACTAGTCCAGATGGGAGTGCAACAGAGACTTGTACAGTTAAACAATCACTTTCTCTTCCTTGACGTCAAAGATTATTTTGCTTATTCCTAAGGTTTAATAGTGAACTGGTGGAGAGAGTATATTTTAATAAATCTGAGAGTAGGAGAAGGCCAGGATAAAAATGGGCAGATATTTTGAGTGCATTAGGAAGAGCAAGGCTAGGTTGAATCGGTTTGTAAGGAGTGAATGCATTCATTCGTTACATGATATTTCAGAGTATCATTGTATGCATGGTTTTCTGAAGTGACAGAGTGCTAATGTGGATGATTGTTAGATTGTGTGGTACTTGTTCACCCATGATGCTATAAAGCATTAGTGATATAATAATGGCAAAGTGATTTTTTGCCTAATATCTATAACATTTTTAATATATTCCTCCCTTGATAAATGATAATGTTTGTCAATCTAGAGCTCGAAATAAAATACAACTTCTATTAGTAGAGTAAATAGCATATAATACAGTAAAGGATTTTACCTGAATCCAACTTCATTCATAACATATGCAATATAAAGGCCACCCATTGCAAATAAGAAAAGGTACTGAATACAGAAACCCAGTTACCTTTCTAATTTTATAATTTGTTCCTTTGAATAAATAAAGTGATATGGTATGTGCAACTACCCTGCTTAAATTTCCCAGAAATATATTGCTTATACTAAAAACTGAGTTACTATCAAGGGTTAACACTGAAGTATTATGCAAACCTTGGTATTCTATACATACATATACACAAAACAATCACAGAAAAAATCAAGTTCAACATGTTGACATTAACCATGAGTGATGTAGTCTTAAGCACCAATAATGACCAGTGGGCAAACCTCACCTTGTCCAGAAAACACAGGCACACAGGTAAGATTCTTTAAGTGCCCTATCATTATGAAAAATCTTTTTTTAGATGGGTTCCATAGCATAAACTTTAAAATAAAATCCAGAAACACTTCCCATATCCGACATTTTCACAATTCACAACTGTGGTCATCAGTTCAACAAAGGATTGTAATAACCAACACATCCAAGTCACTAGTGTTCAATCGTAAATTGTCTAAATAATATACTCTCACCACCGATGTCTTTCCATTCACATATTACTGTAAGTTAATGACTGCTTTAACAACCCATGAAGTAATAATGTTTCACCATCTTAAATGACATACATCACTTTGTACTACAAAAGTAATTCTAATTAAACTTACTGTAATAAAAACCAAGACAATGGTATGGAAAGTTTACATAATACAATTGGAACCTATGTTACATAACTTGCCTTGAGAAAGTACAGTATACCCCAAGTTACAGAACACATCAAAGAGACAGAACAGTCACAATATACAAATACATTAATTTCACAAACATGTTTTGTATATAATCAGTTCCCAAGAGAAAAGGTTAACAATTCCCAGATTGTATGGTTCCTAACTGGCATTATACTAAAACATTATACTCCTTTTAGAAGTAATAAAATTCCTATTCTCTATGTAATAAGAAGGTACAAGCTCGACAGAAAATTACCTGGTATAACCCTGATGTAGAACGCTGTTTTTATATCCATAAACACAAACCAAACAAGACGTGATGTGATACTTATTACACTCCATTTGTTATGTAGAAAATGTATAAATGCCTTCGTTTCCTAAACTTGATGATTTAATGAAATTATTTTACTTGTCGTTTACTCCATTGCAATCTTCTCGGGCAGCAATCACTTTGTCTGTAGCTACCTCCTTGGTCTTCACAAAGCGCATTTTGGTGTGCTCATCAATTATTGCCGTTGCTCGACTTTTCTTCAGCTTATATTCAGCCTGAAAATAATTAGCAGTACAGTATTAAGAAATAATTATAAGAGAATACACGAAGCCTGGAAGACGACATGGCACTGGCTGCGGCACAGGAAGTAACAAGGGTTTAGGCATCATTCAAGATGCTAATACAACAGCATAAGGACATAAGGTGGCAATATCAAAAGTATCTGATTCACCAAGGATTTTATCGAGGGACAAGTGACTTAATGGGACTTTGGGAGAGCAGGATCTCTAAACATCCTGAAAATCAGGACATTCCATGAATAGGTCCTGAGCAGTAGCAGCCTTAGCCTTAGCTTTAGCCTTAGCAGCATTTAGCAATAACAGCAGTCAGCATGCGGTCACCCAGCAAAGTACAGCCCTGGAGGACTTGCCACACAAGCTTTATGAGTGAATCAATGTAATTTACAAAGTTATCTATAAGTCATCTTGTCAATCTTTTTATTTTTTATATCTTCCACATTTCATCTTTTTTTCCACGACTGAAATATTCCCCATACAGTTTATGTATGATTGTTGTTTTTGGAACAACAATCCAAGAACAATTCTTGTTTTTTATGTTTGTTCTGGGTCAATGTTTCTCTTATAGAAAAAAAAAAAAAAAAATTATTTGGATTAAATACTTAGGTTATTTTCAACATTAAACAATTCACAAGTCTGAGTTGCATCAATGAAAGACCAGGTTCTGCACCCATGAATTGCAGGTTGCATTCCTAGGTAAACAAATCTACCAACTCCAGAGTAGAGAAGGGCAGTGAGAATGTGATCACTATGTACAAAATATGCAGGAGACTAAATAAATGAACGCTAAATATTACAAACAAACCAAAGAATACACACTCACAGTGAGGAATGTCAACAAGTGGTATATATACTAAAAAGAAAATATTGGTAGCTGTGGAAGCCACCTTCATCCTTCTTCAAGAGAGAGAAAATATAATGAAGAAATAGAATATCAAACAATATACTTGCACCAGTACAAATAACCAGCAGGCAGGAGCCCCATTCTCCAATATATTACAGTAGTAGGAAAGAAAAGCTAACTCAGTTATTTAATTATTGGCAGACATCGTGGAGAACTGACAATTTAGTCTTGAATTTTTACTTTAATTAAAAAAATAAATACAATATTTATTTGGTCCTGGCTCCCACCAATATTTGAGAATGATCAATGTCTTACATCTTGAGGTTATCTTGAGATGATTTCGAGGCTTAGCATCCCCCGTGGCTCGGACCTTGACACAGGCCTCCTTTTTGATACACACCTCCCTGGGAAGCAACCTGTAGCAGCTGTCTAACTTCCAGGTACCCATTTACTGCTAGGTGAACAGGAGCATCTGGGTGAAAGAAATGCTGTCCATTTGTTTCCGCCTCCGCTGGGGATTGAACACGGAACCTCAGGACTACGAATCCCGAGTGCTGTCCACTCAGCCATCAAGCCCACATGATGTTGACTAATTACTGTATTAGGCTCAAACAATGGGTGATAATGACTGACTTGCATTTCCTATTCTTTTGCAAAATAAAACCAGCGTTGAATGTAATGAAACGCCATTTTCTGGGTGAGACCCGGAGGCTCCCCGGAGCTTATCCAGGCTGATATGCTAATGTCAGACTTTGGCATCAGTCATGTGTATGGAGTTCTATGGGCCTACCATGGACCACGAGCCAGAACCCCCTCAGAGAGGCAAGGGAAGCAATGGCCTATAGAAACCCCCGTGTGGTTGGAAGCATTCTGTCTGCCATTGACCGGGTCAGGCACCCAGAAAGGTAAGCGTCCCAAAACAAAGCCCTATTCTGGTGAAAATTTCTACCACAAGCCGAACAGGAGGATAGAACTCCCTGTTACGGACCCGAATCCAGCGTTCGAGCACGGAGCAGTGACGACCGCGCCATCTGTGGGTCAGCTCTCGAAAACCCCACCAAATGGACGACGCCACCTGGTGAGGACGAAGTGTACTGGTCACAAGGGCCAGTTTCCAGTCCTGTTCAGCACATAACACAGCCGTTGCTGACCTCTGGTGAGGTGGTGCTCAGACGACAGCGCCATCTATGGAGTGGATAGGTGGGCGTTTGTGTCTGAGCCTGTAAGTGAGGTGCTTGAGTGTGTCCCTGTTATTGATGACGTGTCTGCTTACAGAGTCGACCTGGGACTGCTGTGATGGAAGTTGAGTCAGTCTACCCAAGGCAGCCGTCCCCATGCTTTGTGCTTTGCTGCAGCAGCTGTGAGTCGTCTCCCGGAGGAACACTGTGGTGTTACCCTGCCTGTGAAGCGGCAGTGAAGGATTGTCGTTCCCGGGACCGACTGCTGGAGACGATTGACCACTGGGGTATTGAGGACAGGAGAGTGATTTGTGGTATCACACGAGGCTCCTGACTAGGGCGCTACCCTAGTATCGCTCGTGGAGTGGCCTGACCAGCGTTGCTGATCCGGAACCTGCCAGCTGTTCTGCTGGACTTGTGGTTGACGGCCTCCACGGCGGTGCCCCAGTGGAACTGTGTTTTGGCTGGCCTGTGTCTGGGGTAGACTCAGCTTGATCGAAGGATTCGTCAAGAGACCACGAAAGCACCGAGGACTCGGCACCGAGAGGATCCCGCGTCTTCAGGAGAAGACAACCGTGTATATACTTCCCTTGTGTAGTGTTAATACCCCTCCCCCTGTGTAACTTTTATATATTACTTATTGGTGAAGGTAATTATAATCTTAAGTTTTTGCCTTTTTTTCCCTTCCCCTTTTATTTTACTTGCGTCACGGATCTCATCCCTTGAAAGCCACTACTGGCTTGGGGCCGGATACAACTTCCTCTAATAACATCAGAGTACGAACCCAGTTGCGACCCGAGAGGGCCGTAACACTCCCCTAAAAGAAACAAACAAACGATCATGACGTCACACGTCACCGCGTCGCTGTCTGTGCAGCTCCCCCCCCTCCCTGGGAGGGGAAAGGGGGAGCCCCAGACCTACCGTGCCAGCTATCCACCATTAGTTCTGAGGTTGGATTTTAAAAAATGCGAAAAACCACCGACCGGAGGGAGGGAGGGCTGCCGGGGAGTCTCCTGGTCTCACCCCAGAAAATGGCATTTCATTACATTCAACGCTGGCTTTCTGGGGGGAGCCCCTTCGGCTCCCTGGAGCTAACTACCCACAGAGGGAAAAAAGAGGGACGTACCCGGGAGGCGATCGCCACACACTCCCCAACTCAAAGTCGAGACAACTGGCTGCAATCGCCAACCCAAGGCGACATAGGACCGAATGGGCCCGGGAACGACACAAGACATTGAGCAGCCAGGCTCCTGTACGACTGCCAAAAGCCCCGTGCCCGAATGTCAGCTAAGACATGCCGCCAAGACGGCAGCAAGAGCAGTGAATCCACAAACCCCATGGGCATGGCGAAAGAAAAAGAAAACCCTGCAAGAGGACAGGGTACCCAGACAGAACAGAGCCGCCCGCCATGATTGGGGAAAACAAGCTGCTCAGTACCCTGCATCCCACCAGTGCAAAACTGCCCCTTACCCTAAGGTGAACAAGGGAGACAGAACACCTGAGCACACAAAGGGCGGCCGAAAACTAAGCAGTAAACGGCCTAGCATGGGCAGAACCCAAGGAACTTGTGGAAGGTGGCCCCAAGCCCCAAGGGCAGTACTTACAGGACACCTAGGGAAGGAAACCCTAGGCACATGCAGCTCGAGTAATGGAGAATCACTCCCGGCTCACGCACCACTTAGAAGACAGTCACCACACTCTAGGTACAGTACTGAAACAACCACCGGAGCTGGAGCACACGACCTCAGCCTCTAGAATCAGCCGAAGAACTAATGGTGGATATCCGGCGCGGTAGGTCTGGGGCTCCTCTTCCCTCCCGGGGAGGGGGGAGCTGCGCAGACAGCAGCACAGTGACGTGTGACGTCATGATCGTTTGCTAGTTTCTTTTAGGGGGAGTTCTATCCACCTGTTCGGCATGTGGTAGCAATTTTCATCAGAATAGGGGTTTGTTTTGGGACGCTTACCTTTCTTGGTGCCTAACCCGGTCGATGGCAGACATAGAATGCTTCCAACCACACAGGGGTTTTGATAGGCCATTGCTCCCCTTGCCTCTTTGAGGGAGGCCAGGCTCTGGCTCGTGGTCCCTGATAGACCCATAGAACTCCATACACATGACTGATGCCAAAGTCTGACATTAGCATATCAGCCTGGATAAGCTCCGGGAAGCCAAAGGCCCCCCCCCCCCAAAAAAAAAAATTAATTAAAAAAAAAAAAAAAGTTTGCCGAGTAGTGTAAGGAGTGTTATATTTAAATAACACTTCAAAACATTAATTTTGCTTCTATGTGATACAGTGCATGAGGATTTAAACCTCTGTAGAACATTTGAAATGTCTGAAGAATTGGGCTTTCATATGTGGTTACAATTCATTAAAAATCAAAATGCTATTTCATCATAGAGAAGAATGCATTTTATAAAGCAGAAAATATATTTGTGTATATACAGTACATATATATACCAACTTCTCATTTTCTTATTAGTCTAGTTTCAAGTGAAGTATAAATATGTAAATTGTATAGTATAAATTTTTTTACCGTTTTTTTACCATATGCAGACAATAAAAATCTATAAATTTTGTTTCATCCATCCATCTGTATATATTTATGTATACAGTACTGTCCTTTTAATATGAACTATTTATCAGTAAACTTTGCTTTACTTTTAACTATAGAAATCACACAGGATTATCTAAAACAATACAAAATCAATTATCTTAACACATGTTCACTTGTACCGTTATACCTACAGTAAAGGCTCACTATGTTCAACATAATCACTACTACAGCACTACATTATTAGGCACAACCCTCTGGTCTGAAGATACAATTACAGTACCACAAAGTACAGTACTTATACACTGGAACACAGTAATGTCTCTCACTCTTCATTACTGTCCTAATTCGAATAAATAAGCATCTGAAAACTAATTCTCACCATAATTTAATCAATATAAAAGCATCTGGTTATTAAATTATGCTCCCTGTCCATCCTGCATGTAACATCCAATGAATGTCATATAGAGCCATAGACTAAGTTTACTTTCTTAGCATGACTGAGTGCTGTGTGTGCCGATTTTTTGTGCGCATTTTAGTGGGTACATGTTCGTAGAGCTCAAACTGCTGGGCAAGTGTTGTACCTGGATGAGGTTTTGTTTGTTCTACTCCCCAAGCCCTGCCAGGGGCCAGGCTTGAGTTGTGAGAGCTTGGTTCAATGGGTCGTTGCTTGGAGCAGCTCACCGGCTCACATATCCACTACAGCCTGGTTGGTCCGGCACTTCTTGCCAAAAACTGTCCAGTTTATCCTTAAAGATTTCCACTTTTGTTCTGGCAATATTTCTTATATTTACTGTACATTTGTTTAACACTTCATCTGTGCCTTCAACCATTATTTACAAAAGTTAAATTATGTGATTAGGAAAATGACAAATACAGTAGTTAAGAAAATGTATGTCTTCAAAAGTCTTAAATTTATTTATGCCTTATTCCTATGTTAAACTTGAGACATTAATGATCTACATACTTTACCCATGATGAGGTTGACGTACTGAGCGACGCAGTGCATCATGATCAAAAGGCCATGGTATATGTAGCCTATGGAGTGCCAGTAATGCAATGTGGTGTCCACACGAAGCAGGAGGAAAGCCATGCCCATGTAGGCAAAGTTTTGCATCTTTACAAACCAGGCAAACCAGTCATAAGCATACTGGCCCTGAAAAATTCATTAATATTCAACTGAACAGTAAATGGGCTGCCACATTTATGAGTAATTTATAAAAATCTATTTGTGCTAATCATAACATCAAATATGCAAATTCACGAAGCTGTATTCTGTCTCGACACAAAAACAAGCCTTATTTTAGAAGGAAGCACCGTACTGTTTTGGTATGTTTTCAACAAAAGTAACAAATTATGATTGGATGCAACACATAAAATTATAATCAGTGTTGGGCAATATGGGCGACGTGAATGGTGAAGCGAGACTGGGCCCCGAGCATGTTGTGAGGGATGCACATTGTTTACTAGGAGTTAATGATACTGGCTGCAGACTAACATATGTACTCTTGAGAGAAAGTTAGATAATACTAATAAATATCTTTAACATAGGAATACAGTATACATAAAGTATATATCGTACTGTGCAAGTGAAGAAATATATATATTGAGTATAAATGATTACTGTATGTACTTGTGGAAATAAACATGTTTAAGCAATTACATGACTATATGGAGGTTTTGTCTGCTTATATAATCAATATTGTAGCAGACCAGACTAAATGGTAAATGAAGAATTGTGCATCACAATGGGAAGTCAACTATGTGTAGGGGGGCAAAGTGTATGGAGGAAGAAAAATTAGAATAATACAGAACCTAACCGAGAACTGAAATAGTAATGAACAAAATGGGTTTTGTAATGAAAAAGTATGGAAAACGTGTCTATACAGTATATGGACTTGCAAAATCATATAATAAAGTGAATGGAGACAGTATTTGAAGCACAGCATTGAAAATGTATTGAAACGGTGAAATGTTATTAAATTACATGAAAAGCTTTTGTGTATAATATGAGATACTGTAATCCTTTCTACAGAACATATTAAATTTTCCATTTTCATTAATTCTATATCTGCTCATTGTCTTTAAATTGTTACTAAATTACAGCCATATACCATCACCACAGCAATATTCTAATTTACGCAAAGTGGCTACATACCGAGTCTCCAAGTCTCCTCCTGACAAGGCGGTCAAAATAGTCTTCCACAGCGAGTATGAATGGCACGGTCAGCATGGATAGGTAGTAACCCGAGTACACTCCATGCCAGTATGCAGAGGCCAACATTGTCAGTGCTTCCCTGTTGAGAGTCAAGTATGTTTAATTGAAGCGGTAGATAGAAAATTTGTAGCTACAGATTTTCAATGCAGTCACTGACCCATAATACAACCAGATTTGGAGACTCGTTAAGTTAAATCATGTTTGTTAGAAAGTTTAGAGCATTTGAGTATATACTGTGAAAGGGAAGTCGATAGCAATAAAACCAGGAATCAAGTTCATGTTGGGTATGTTATGTATCAGAGCCGATTCAACAAGACGGTGTCTGTGAAGAGTAGAGGCAGGAAAGATTATTTTGGAGGAAGACCAATCAATAGCATGATTAGAATCCCTAACATGACCCGCAACAACAACAATAATAATAATAATAATAATAATAATAATAACAACAACAATAACAACAACAATAACCCACAATACTGTACATACATATATGATTTGGCATAACATAATTTAACATAAGTTTTTAAAACTTGCACAAACACTTTCCAATTTTTTGTGCATAATCAACTACGCAAATGCTCCAACTTTGTCTAAATGATCACAGCGTAACTTGAAAAACAAGAGAATCAAAATTAAATTTAAAATTGAATATTGAAAACTTTAGATTTTCAATTCAGAATAAAAAAATATGAACTATCACCAATTGTTCATTTAATGTTGTTATTCTCTCAGAATAGCATATGATCTTCATTTTCATCAAATTAGAATATAGGTTTTCAGTACTGTATAGTTTGCTGTAAAAAAAATTGTCAATAAGGCATTTGAAATATGCGGCAAATTTAGACCAAAAAAAAAATTAGAACTACAAATGTATAAAGTTTATGGAAAATTTATTCTGAAAGGATTGTAGAACAGACAGCTGAGCACACAATATGTCAAAATAGTGAGAATCGGTCAAAAACTAAAATTTTAGAAGCCACTCAAAGTTGTAACTCTAGTTTCAGAGATAATTGAAGTTGAAGTTATCAACAATGAATAAAGGTAGTTTTAATCCGTCAATTTAATTGTTAGTTTCAATAAACATTGTTTGGCATTTGTACTCGAATATGTGAAAGTTGTAGGCCAATGTGTGTTGAACTGAAGTCAAGGAAAAAATAACCCCCCAAAAAACACAAAATATAGGGATAATTATAATAATATAATGATTTAGGGGATATATTTAGGGTATACTTTATATAAGTTAAAAAGCTCTAATATGGTCCCTAATCATCAAAACAACCTAGAGAGAGACAAAAAAAATAGAGTTTGAAACCAGAGAAAAAATCAGCCCAAAAAATAAAAGTCCCAAGTTTTGCGAGTTGTGACCAATTTATTTGTTGACCAATTTCATTCTATCTTCATATAGTTAGGGAAACATATGCACTCTCCAGGATGTAAAGATTACAACAAAATCAGATAATAAACAAAGGAGATAAAAAAAAATTGGGGGGGGGGGGGGGGCATTGATGAAAGTAACATAGAAAGTAACATTGGACAATGTATTTACATGATATATAACAAAATATAGCATAATAACATAGTTACTCATTACTATTTGTGTTATTATGTATTATTCAGCAATGACATTAAAGGCACCAACGACATATCCACTTTGTGGACACTTCTTACTACTATTCTTCTTCTTTGAGCGTCGGACAGATGCTTGCATCTCTTTATTACTGCATTACCCTTCAGTTCCAGTTAATAGGAGCTGTTCTCCTTATCAACAAAATGCTCTTATTTTTTACAAATTTGTCTAAAATCAATTTTCTGAAAATATTTGATGAAAGTTTCATGTCACTGAAGCCAATAAGTTGGAGATTTGTTTAACATTTGTAAGTTATTTTTACATAATTCAAATATTTTTCACTTCCAGGCCCCCAATATGCGCGGTTTAAGGGTTAAATCATCATATAAAGATGACCGCATTCCCTAGTAACATTCATGACGGTAACCCCAGCCATACCATGAAATGGTAGCAGGATTTTTCACGGGTCAAGGTAATCTCTGTTACATCCACATGGACCTATGATATCCATATTTGCATCATACATGTAAAACCAGGACAATAATTTTGTAAATCTTCATAAAATGATAACTGCATTACCCTGTGAATCAACAATAGACAATAACTGCTGTCTAGAGGTTAGCTATCTCTATGCTTTCTTAGGCCTTTCTTCCCTCTCAACCTTTACCTACTCTTTCAAATTACACCCTGTACTTACTTTCACCAAATCTACAACATAATCACTTCTTGAATACTGTAAGAATGTCTATTGTATGTTATCCACACACCTAATTGAACCTCATAATTGTCCAATATCAATTCCTCTCCAACTCTTGCAACTTTACTCCCTTAATACTGGCAGGAGTGCTTTTCCTTTTTTTTTTTTTTTATTCTCGCACAGTTTTCAAAGTCAAAATCATCAAAATCTATCTTATCTTATTAAAGAAATAAATCATGATGAGGGATAAGGTTTTCTAGCCATTCTTCAAGGTTTCACTCTGTTCCATGCTTGTGCTAAAGTCTGGCTTTATTTCATAAATTTTTCATAAATCACATGAAATATCTCATAAATCAATTCAAGCATTATTTTTAAAGCTAAAAATTATGCCTTGAGTGATGAGTTGAACCAAGAAAGTTGCACTGGAGGGCAAGAATACACAATGCATATTATCCCTTATTACCAGGTAGTTCATCCTCGTGTGCGTGCGTGCATTTGGAGAACTTTTATCAACAAATAAGACCACACTGCAACTGTCTGTTATGGCAATGTTTCAAATGATCATTCACATCAAGGACAAAATGATCTTCAAACCAGTCTTGTAATATTTCTAAACATCCATGCTGCCATATAAATAACAGGGAAAGAGATTTGGTCTCTTTTTAAATGCCCTTGGATATTGGATATTTCCACTCATGGCATTTGGGATCAGTGTGTGCCAGCAGCACTGGCACAGACACAGTGAACATGTACACAGAAGAGCCAGCACTTTTGCCACTGAGCAACAGTGCTGGTATGCAACAGGTGCCAATACAAGCTCGGGAAGTAAATCATCCTGCACTATCCATTCGTATGATTATGTACTCACCATACCTGCATCAGCCAGCTCCTTGTGTATTTTCACATGCTTAATATCGTATCATGCTTAAGGTACTTGAGTTATAGAGGATATCCTCATGCTGCATCCAAAGTTTGCAACCGCAGGCTACTGGTCACATACCCCTATATGACTAACCATCCTTTCAGGTGGGGGTTTTCATGGCATTTCATAGATAGTTGTTGACACACACCATGGAGCCCCTTCATGTAGTCTAGGGTAGCTGCAAATGCAATTTCTGCCAGAGAATTTCACTTGTGAACTAGTAAAGACAGGCTAAACATCACCATTTGATTGCACAAATGTAGTAATATAAACTGTTAAATAAAAATCTGTCTAAAACAAGCATATACAAAAAGAATAAAGACAGAAAAATTTAAGGAAAAAATTTAAATTTAAAACAAGAAAACAAAACTCAGCAAATGGGCAGTCTTGAATTATTGCACAGATATTCAAAGGACTGATCAAATCCTTCATATAGTATAGATATTATACTGTACCTACTTGATTGGCCTGGCCAGCTTGAGACGCTTGTATACATTATTGGCAAGCCAGAACTGCACTGTCATGTTCCAGCAACGCATTCCTGCCCGGACCGTCGGGGTGAAGTCTGCTCCAAACTCATCAATATTGTGGATAGTTTCAAAATTGTATTCAGTTTTGACTGGCTCCATTTTAGAACTGCAATGTAAAAAAAATAAAAACTGTACTATATAACCAACTTTAATTTGTGCTCTTATAAACAGAATTTTGGTGTTGAAATAAAAGTACGTAGGTGGAAAGAATGCTTAGAAAGCTTGACAGATGAAGTTTATAAAAGTACAAAGGTGAATGTGACTGCCTTTCATGTATTGAAAAGAATACAAGATTAAGAGCATCAGTGCAGAAGCAACAATGTGGGCAACCTTGAGAAGGAATGTGTGGGTGTGCAGAATTTGCAAGATGTAGGAAAGTGGTACAGTGCCTGAAGATTAGAATAAAGACTTGTGACTGTACCATAGTATAAGTAAGGCTATGAGTGCTTTGTATATGAATAAAATTATACACAGTATATATATTTATTTATTTTGGGAGGGAGGGGTCAAATAAGGGGCTGGGTGGTTACATGTACAGTACAAATTAAGGTCATAATTGCAACAGGAATTACTGACTTTATATGCAGTAATACGGTAACACATTGAAACATTACAATTTCTAGCATTTTAATCCATTATCTTTAATCAGCATTCACAGATATACAAAAGTATATCCAGTGAAATTCAGAAAGAAATCAATATTATGTTACAAAATCCCAAAAATTGTAAGTAAGACATTAGAAGATAACTTTTTTTTATAGTACAGTACTTCATACAAAATCTCCTCATATGTACTTGCATAAATTCTGATTAAGAATTAATAAGAAAAATTATTTCTAATTATTCCACACACAAACCTCATTGGTGCACTAGGTGCCATGGGCATGGGCACGCATGGGCACTAACTGCACCCCCACCGCCCCACTACCATCATCAGCCACTAAGGGAAGTATTTACTTCAGTTCTAAGATAACTTATACACAATTCCATCCAAAATAACTCACAGCTGCTCCCTGGAAAATTTATATTTAATCAATGCAATCACAACATTTAATAGTAAAGAGAGACAGTACATAATTCTCTAATGCCAGGAGCAATAACTAACAGCAAATTTACATGTAACACTGAAAGAGTGTTGGTGAGTGAGGGGTCAATGTCACCTGCCAGGTAACCCAAGGAATGGGGGGACATGAAGTTTAAGTTTTAAAACCAAATTATCTCATCAAATTATGTTATGAAGGGAAAAGGGAGAAGAGATAAGCATCAATTGCCTAGGGGCCTGACAGCTGAGTGGACAGCGTTTCAGATTCGTAGTCCTGAGGTTCCAGGTTTGATCCCCAGTGGAGGCGGAAACAAATGGGCAGAGTTTCTTTCACTCTGATGCCCCTGTTACTTAGCAGTAAATAGGTATTTGGGAGTTAGACAGCTGCTACAGGCTGCTTCCTGGGGGAAGTGTAACAAAAAGGAGGCCTTTTCGAGGACCGGGTCGCGGGAACGCTAAGCCCCAAAATCACCTCAAGATAATCAAGATAAATATCACTATTAAACATTTTATATTTAACCCTTAAATTTTGGGACTTGCCATATGATGCTTTCAATGAAGTTTCACTGTTGATGTGGGTGCATCAAATTAAAATGTATGTTTTACACCAGTGTTTGTCAAATGCTTTTAATGTCAATGTATACATGTTAGTGCTATTAACATTAATAATGATATAGAAACTAACAAGGTACATTAAAAAAAAGTAATAACTTTCCATGCAAGACTGAAAGATATATTGAAACAAAATGCTATAACCCAAAATCCACACAGAAGGTATTAACACAGAGTTTATCAGCACTAATGTGGATAAACTACCAGTACTCACCTTGCTTCAAGCACCTCATATTTACTTGGGCCACGACCAGGTTTGGGCTCACTGGCCACTGGGTATGCTCCAAGTCCGGCCATGATACACACACACTCCGATAGGACAAAACCAGCATAGATCCGCATGCGAAAGTTGAAGAACACAGGAGTCATATACCACATACGATAAAAAAAGCCATAATCTCTGAAGATTACCTCATTCTCAGCAAACTGAAAACATAATTCTTAATTGAAAATACAAGTCTTAAAGGGTCAGTAAATACATATCATTATTCTCAATATTCATACACAAACAAACAGTGCCTTCCCACATACATACATTAATACAATACACAGCATTACATAACACTTTCCCACACAAGGTGAGATGTCTAGGCAAGTTTCCTTATACCTGATGGTCTGTTCACCTAGCAATAAATTGGTAGTTAGGAGTTAAGCAACTGGAGGGAGGGGGGAAAGGGGGGGGGGAGGGGACCCTTGATAAGTTTTACAGGCTTCCTGTCCTTGACAATGGGAAACAATACATTTATTACATGCATAAATTCAACAATTATGAAAGTAAAATATATTAATTGCAACCACATACTTTTCTTTTACTGTTATTCCCCTTTATCCCAGCCATGCTTATTTTCTTAAAATAGTAATTTTTTATAGAATTAAATAAGACTTGCTTTGCTTCATTCAAGAAAGCTCTTGGCAACATTTTACAACACTGCACCAACTCCATATATGCTCAATATTCTCTAAAAGACCCTTTCTAATTTCACTTATTGAATGTTTTATCCCAGTCTATAAACATCATGTAATCTTACTTTGCTTATATAATGTCAGTATTATTCTTTCTTCACTTCACACAAGAAAATCATGAGAAAATTTTTTCAATTTGATTAAGAAATGAAAGAAACTTACTGACAAAGGGAAGAAGTAGTCAGACAGCAGGAATGCCCCTGCATACAGTGGCACGACCCATATTCTCCGCAGCATTGCTTGTAAGCAGTCCAATCCACTGTTAAGAGGCGCCCCTTGCAGCATGTCTTCATATACTCTGTATTTATAGTACGGACCTGTCCAGAATGTGTGCTATAGTTCATCTTTTATAAAAAAAATATGAAGACAATGAACTTTAGGTACTCTATGTAACATGCTAAGACTGTGCAACTTTCTATAACTCATGATATGATTAGTTGGTTTCTTATTTTTCAAATTAAATATTTCTTATTGATTTGCTGCTTTAAATCAAGTTATTTGTATTCTCGCTTATACGTAGTTTATAAACAGTATTACAGTATTTAATGTCAGAATATTTATAGCAATTACTTTCAAATTTATTCCATAAGGCATTGTTTGTACTACAGTTTATAATTTTACTACTGTATTTAAATATTACTGTACAGTTGTCATTACATACTACTACTAATATTACTACTACAGTACTAGTGTTGTATTAATATATACTGTATCACCACTTAAATTGTATGCTAAATGTTTTTGAATTCGTCTAAAAATATTAGTTTACTTGGGGCTTATCCGGAGAGCTTTCCGAGAGTTCTGCTCCCAAACGTGATCTGGGGTCAGGTTTGACTTGAGATAACTTGGTCCAGCAGGCTGATGCTTGGAGTAACCCACAGGCCATCACATCTACAACAACCCAATTGGTCCAGCACTTCTTGCAGGAAAGTGTTTAATTTTTTGAAGTCCACTTTTGTTCCAGCAATGTTTCCTATGCCTGCTGGGAAGGTATAAGCTCTGGCTAAGCATGTTAATAGCCATGGATCTCTAATGTTCATGCAGTGTTCTCTGATTGTTCTAAAGGCACCTCTACTCCTCACTGGTTCTATTCTTCATATCCAACCATATTGATTGCTCCGGTATGTTATTTTACTGTGCAAATTTGGGACCTGTCTAACAGTATCATCCATGTACATACAGTACTGAGGTACCTCTCTCATCTCCTTTCTACAGAACATTGAGAACTTTGACAGTCCAATAAATTAGGTGCTTTATAGTGTCAATGCTTGTTGTATATGTTCTCTATATTCCCTCTATTTTAGCAACCTCTTCTGCTCTAAAAGGGGAAGCGAGTAGTGATCAGCACTCAAGGTGGGACAGCACAAGTGATTTGAATAGAACGAGCATTATGGTAGATTCCCTGGATTTGAAAGTTCTCATAATCCATCCTATCATTTTCCTGACAGCACTATATTTGCTTGGTTGTGCACACTTAACATCGGGTCTTCAGACATTATTCCCAGATCCTTTACATGTTATTTTCCTTCTATGGGTAAATCCGATTTCTATCTTGTATCCTGTATTTTCTCCACGTTCTCTATTTTATCCCATCTTGCAGTTTTTCATGGCTTCTACAGTAGTAATTTTCATACAGATTTTTGTATTATCTGCAAAGGATGACAATGTTGTGACTTATTTTTGTCTATATCTGATATGAGAGAAAAAGCAGTGGTGCAAGGACTGTACCCTGTGGGTACAGAGCTTTTCATTGTGTTGAAAATTGATTTTATTTGATTGACTGTTACTTTGCATTCTCTTTCTGAAACTGAAAATCTATTACCGTATTTTACCTGTTATTCCTATTTATCTTATTTTATGGGCTATTACTCCATGGTCACACTTATCGAATGCCTTTGCAAAGTCCGTGTATACCACATTCGCACTTTGGTTTTCTTATAATGCTTTCTTGATTGTGTCATAATAAATCAATCATAACTTTATTCATTAAAGTTCATTTTGTACATTTATAGTTGGGTTAGTTTACACAAATTTACAGCAAATTATTTACCAAAGAGAAAGTCACAATAACAACATAACATGAAATACATGTATACTGTATACAGTACTATAGAATTAAATTTAGAACCTACATTTATCAATGATTTTAAAATTACTACATTTGTGAAATTCAGATTAAAATTTGTTTCTGTAACAACTTGCACAAATCGGTACAATAATGGTTGAGTAATTGCAAAAAGATGGGATCTCCCTGCTCTAAATTCATGTTGGCCTGGGTTGTGAAGTTCATTGTTCTCCATAAAACTGGAGATTCGATTCCTAATGACTTTCAGAAACTTTAATTAGTCTATATTTTATCCAGTGATTTGCTACCTCCCTTGTACATCTCATGATTTAAGTGCTTCTCACCTATATCCAAGCTTTTTCTCCATATTATATAGAGTGCTCATGTTACTGGTATTTTACATTTCTTTATAAATATGGAATTCTATGAGTTGGGTCCTAGGGTTGAGTGCATGGGTACATTGTAAATTTCCCTTTCAGTCTTCTGTGCTCATGTTAATATTAGTTAATAAAGTGTCAGGGTTTTGGATATCATTCATGAGGAGGCTGTCTGGATCTTAAGCTTTTACGTCATTTACTGGGATGTTAAAACATAGCCTTATACTGAGGCTATGTGAAATGAAAATTACTTCAAATGAGTGAAATACTTTAGAATTTTGCTCATTTCTTTGTTGCCCTCTATAAACCTTTACTTGTAAGAATAGGTCCAATACTGGAGGTTTTTATTTTGATTCTATATATGTAAAAAAATATATTGCATTTCCCTTTATCTCTTGTTCCAATTTCATTTCTTCAGTCTGGTATAATTGCTGCAGCTTCTGCTCTATTTCTTCAATCTCCCTGTTTAAATTTCCTTTTCTGTTGGGATAACCATGTCTGCTTAAGCATTTCTGTTATTTTTCATTTTCTTTAGTAGTGTCATCTGCATTCTCTCTCTCTCTAGGGTGGTACTCTTTCTGGCCTTCCATAAAGGAACACGTCTCAAGACGACTTGGGAGTTTTATTACTCAAGACAGTTTCCCAGCCAGAATTGTAAATGTTTTACAAGTTGTTATGAATGAACATTATCTAATCTGCAAATAAAAATTAAAAATTCAGTTATTCCCAAAAAATACTGTAATGTCATCCAGCAAATCTGCAAATACCTGTGAGGACTCCAACATAGCAGAAAGCATAATGAAAGATGTCCAGAGGTGTGGGGTCCACCCCCTCATATTTCAATTCTAGTTCAAGTTTAACTTTCTTCTCATCGTCTTCCTTCTTAGCCTCCCCACGTTTTCTCCACGTATCGTGAACTTCAAAGCACACCCCAATCAACTAGAAGATAATTATTACGAATTACTAAGAAAAATTATTCCAGTACAGTATATATAAAAGTCTCCAAATGAAACCATAAATACTTTGTGTCAAATTTAAAACTCGAGTTTAAACACACTTTAAACATCATGAAAAACTCTTTTAATCTCAAACTTTTCAATTTGCTAAATTTAAAAACTTCCTTGCATTAACAGATACGTTTTTGGGAATGTAAGATGTTGATAAATGGCACTCTATGCATTCTATGCTTTTGCTGCCTACTATATCTTGTACTGTATAGTGCCTTGTCCCATATTAAATACAGTATTCTCCTCCCACATCTTACCTCTACACATTCAACACATCATTTACTTTATCTCACAAAACTTACAACTATAATAACTGTATTGTATCTACAAAATTCTTGGCTTGACACACAACACCACTTGGTGTTGCTTTCTCACCCTTTCTTCATTAAACATTTTCCTATAAATTCTACTGTAATAATAATGATAATAATTATACTAATAATAATACATGATTATAATTATTATTAACAATAATAATAATAATAATAATAATAATTATAATACTGTAATGACAATTACAATAATAATAATATTCTTATTATCAATTATTCTTATTATAAATTACTGTATTAGTATTATAATTACAGTGGAACCTCGAGTGACGAGCAGCTCCAATTTACAAGCATTTCAAGTATTGAGCGAGCCACTCGCAGAAAATGTCTCGACTGACAAGCTTTCCCTCGATTAACGAGCGTTTCCGCTGGTTCTCGGACACCTCCGAAGACAGTTTTTTTGTTGTTTCACAAGACGAGTTTTCCACGTGATGAGCTCGGTACCGAAACAGATTAAACCCGTTAATCGAGGCGCCACTGTATTAGTATTATAGTTATTATTATTATAATTATTATAATAATAATAATAATAATAATAATTATTATTATTATTATACAGTAATAATAATACTGTAATAATAAGGGTCTTGGTAGTACAGAACATTCGGGATTGTTCTCGACTCACAATCGAGAATCTCGAATTCCTGGTGGGGCAGATATGATTGGGCACATTTCCTATTACCTAATTTCCCTGTTCACCTAACAGTAATTAGGTACCCAGGAGTTAATCAGCTTGTTGTGAGGTTGCATCCTGGGAGGGGTCAGTAATTCAACTGGGGTTGATGGGGGGGGTTTCCTCGATATAAGCCTATTACATATACTATATATGAATACACTCTGGCTGCCTGTCCCAGACACAATGAATTATTATTACTGTATTATTAAAATTATAATAATAATAATAATAATAATAATAATACTTTATTTAAACAAAAGTACATTCATAGGATACAAGGAGAGTGTAGGAATCCTAGGCAAGATCAAGTATAGTGAAATGCCTAAAGTCACTAATACATAGAGCATTTCGTCAGCGTGCACTCTCCTGCCATGCCTCGCACTCAACACCTGCCACTCCCCCTCATCCCCCCCCCTTGCCATGCCTCACATTACCCCCACCCCTTCCTGCTGTGCCTAGCACTTCCCTCTGCCAAGCCTTGTACACTCCCCTGGCACACCTCACACTTCCCCCATACCATGCCTCGCACTCCTCCCCACCACACCTTGCCCCCTGCCATGCTTTGCACTACCCTTCTACCTGCCATGCCTCACACTCCTAACCCTGAACAAAATATGCTTAAATGTCTGAAAGTCATGACAATATAACAATTTATAACAACTAGGTACCTTTAATGTAATCATCATCTGCACTGCATTGGTGTGAGCTGGGGCCATCTCCAGACCAACATAATGGCAAACACGGAAAAATAATAAATATGAGAAGCTCCACCAAAAGCTGACTGCATGACACAAGCTGTGGACAGAAAATATTACACAGCATCAGCAATAGTCTTTGGGAGAAAGAAGTATAAAAATTTGTCACGTGGAACAGGAAGAGTTGATAATGTTTGCTCTTCCTCTATACATATTTGGCTTTCTGGAAGTCAGAAAGCCAAATATATTATTAAATATGGTTAGAGCTAGCAAATATGATAGCAAATATGCACACCATATTTGTACACCAAATATGGTGTGTGCAAATCTATGCACTCCTTGAACTTCAGTTCAAAGTGTGCATAGATTTAGAAAGGATGTGGGACACAGTCCACTAACACATTGTGCCGAAAGCTTCAAAACTAATAAATTGTTTAAAAGAGCAAGTGAAATTATTACAGCTTATCTCACTGGCAGCTATCCTAACTCTTTACTGTATTGTACTTTTCCCAGTCATCCCAACAAACACTATATGCACAATTCACCAACTTAAAACCAAAGCTGGGAACATTAGTAAAATACTGTACCATCTATGGTATACAAGAGTGCCGCTCATGCCCTTGCACTAATTGTAGCTCTATTATTCAACAAATCTTTTGAATGTCACTTTTCTTGATATCCTTAAAAAAACAAAGAGTAACACCGGTTCATAAAGGAGGCGATACAGCTGACAAACAATTACAGACAATATGAAATCTACCGATACTATCAAAAATATTTGAAATAATTATTTACAAACAGTTTTACTCCTATCTTGTAAAATTCAACACACAGTATTAGGTCTCTGCCAGTTTGGCTTTTGTTAAAAAAAAAAAAGAGAGAGAGTACCAATGATCCCATTATTAGTCTGCTTGATAGACAGTAATCCACACACCCCTTAATAAATATGATTTACCAACTGGCATCTTCATTGACCTGAGAAAGGCCTTTGATACTGTAAATCATAACTACCTCTTACTTGAACTTCATCATTATGGAATCCTAGGCCTTGCTCTAAACTATATTCGATCATATCTTAATGACAGACATCAATACTGTATGTAGCCATCAATGCCATAACCCTTCCCCACTCTACCATTAACCATAGAAATGTCACAGGGAAGCATCATAGAATCTCTCTTTGTTTCTTATGAGAGATATAATCGTAATCTTGAGAGAGATTTTCTCTTATAACGTAAAAACACCATTATGTAATCTCACAAACCCATTGTACTACAGTATCTTGTAAATAAATAAATATATGACTCCCAAAACCACATATGCACACCAGAAATAAATATCTCCGATATTCCTAGAGTAAGTCATAATCTGTACAAACACTCCCAAGCAAATAAAAGGACCCAGTCTATGGGACTCACTCCCTTATGAATTAAAAAATTGTCTGACCTATACTTTATTCAAAAGTAAAATAAAAAAACACCTAATTTCATTCTCATAGTTTCCTATCTTGTGCATCAAACTCCCAGAGTACCTTGTGTACATTCCACACACCCAATTTAGTACTAGTGCATACCTGGATTGTACCTTGCAACTTCCTCAGTATATTATATTTATCTAGATGTACTTACTATGTTGAATTTCATTTGTTAAATTGTACCTATTGTACACTGGTTTTAACCAATAACCATTTATTGGTCAGCTGAAGAACCTGCCTGAGACGCTACGCATGTTAGTGGCTATGCAAGAATTAAACCCTCCGTCACCAATGTTATGTACTCTTGATCTCGAACCCATTGTTGATGTGACGACTTGTACTGAATTTTGTAACTAGCTCAAGATTGTAACTTGCTTAGCTAAATGAATTGTGGGGTTCAGTCCCTGAGCCCATTATGTGCCTCTATAACCCTTTCCACTACCGCCCACAAAATGGGTATGGGGTGCATAATATATGAACTAAACTAAAAACTCTAGCAACCCCATGTACCTTATTGTACATAAATAAAAAAAATAATCAACAAATAAAGATATTAGACGATTCTTAACCAACATATTGCTGCGATTTGTCCTAAACTACATAGAGCTGTAGCAATAGATGTCTGAAATGACTGTCCTTTCGAGTCATCTAGAAAGGTGTGTGGACATTTATTCTGACCAAAATAAGTGGCTAAATATAACAAATATTTTTACTGGTTGTTTTAGGGTTCATGTGCATGACAGCCTACACTTACAGCTGGCCTACAAACTGAATAAATTTACCCTTATGACTGACTTATTACCAGTCAAGCACTCACCTCTTACTGACGTAGAGGAGAATAAGAATATTTGTGGCGGTGAGGAAGAGAGGATGGATGATATGCCAGCCCGAGACTGCTAGGGTTAGGGCCAACCCCACAATCGTCCCTATCCATTTCCGGGCTTCAGGGCTCCTTAAACCTCTGTATATCTGCCCAAACCCTATTGAGGCTCCTAACAAACTCAGGTACACTATATCATCTGTCTTCATGGCCGCAGTTGTATACAAAATGATTCACATGCAGACAGGTAAACCGATAACCACAAGCGTTAACACAGTCTGGCGCACGTTTGCCACATCCAAATTGCTGAAAGTAGCGAGCTGACGGTCTAAAAGTAGCGGCTGTGTAATAAAAGTAGCCCAAATTTTTTTTAGTGTCTGATACGGGTTTCAAGGTACTGTAATATATTTTAATATGTAGAGTACACTATACGATGTTAATTGTTTTATTATTATTTCTGCGCACACACACATATATATAATATATATATAATATATAATATATAAATATATATATAAATATATATATAAATATATATCAGAGGTCCGCGGTTGTTCAACGTCCTCCCAGCAAGCATAAGAAATATTGCCGGAACAACCGTGGACATTTTCAAGAGGAAACTAGATTTATTCCTCCAAGGAGTGCCGGACCAACCGGGCTGTGGTGGGTATGTGGGCCTGCGGGCCGCTCCAACCAACAGCCTGGTGGACCAAACTCTCACAAGTCGAGCCTGGCCTCGGGCCGGGCTTGGGGAGTAGAAGAACTCCCAGAACCCCATCAACCAGGTGTATATATATATATATATATATATATATATATATATATTATATATATATATATATATATATATGTTGATGAGTGTTGATGTTCGGCAGTCCTCCAATGGCAGGTGTCAAAGCCTGGTCACACTTAAAACAAAAATATAGACTGCTTGCCTGTTGTCTGTGGTAAGTGAGAGGGAGGAACACGTAAAACACAAAGTATGAACAATGAAACTTTAATATATTTACTTTAAACATAAATGAAAAATAAAGACAAATTTCGGGGGATTAAAAATTCAATGAAATAATAAAGAACTGCAAAGACAATGTGAGAGACAATAATACAAAAACAAAGAAATGTAAAAATGGTGCTGAGAATCGGCTATGGCTGAAACCTCCCTTCGTATACAAGCTAATGAGCTAGTATGCCAGAGAGAGATGTCAACGCTAAGAGCACAAGGAATATTCTGAAGTTGATAGCTGGTCAGGCTCAGAAGTCGACTCAGGTAGAGGGCGCTGAGGTGCGGTGTGCAGGTGCGCGGCTGGCGAGTCACCGATCAAGAGCAGGCAGGCTGGTGAAGGGTAATTAGCTGGTTTGATGACGAGCCGGCGTGTGGAGGGTGTGTGGAGTGGGGGGATCTTGGATACGTTTTGCCTCCTGGTCAAAACGTTTTGTGCTACTGGTGACGTATCTTGAATGTAGCATCTTATACTTGTATATTTGGCGTAACTTGAAGTAGGGAAGAGCAGGCTCAATCTCTCTTGAAAGAGATTATTGTCATAATATATATATATATATGTCGTACCTAGTAGCCAGAACGCACTTCTCAGCCTACTATGCAAGGCCCGATTTGCCTAATAAGCCAAGTTTTCCTGAATTAATATATTTTCTATAATTTTTTCCTTATGACATGATAAAACTACCCATTTCATTATGTATGAGGTCAATTTTTTTTTATTGGAGTTAAAATTTGCGTAGATATATGATCGAACCTAACCAACCCTACCTAACCTAACCTAACCTATATTTATAGGTAAGGTTAGGTTAGGTAGCCAAAAAAAGCTAGGTTAGGTTAGGTTAGGTAGGTTAGGTAGACGAAAAAACATTAATTCATGAAAACTTGGCTTATTAGGCAAATCGGGCCTTGAATAGTAGGCTGAGAAGTGCGTTCTGGCTATTAGGTACGACATATATATATATATATATATATATATATATATATATATACATTAAAATCACTGTAGGTAAATGCACAAAACACTGTGCATATTAGTGGCTTTAGGCATAGTATGTACTAGCTTTATCTAAAAGTCCAACATTCTGCTTGTAACTTTTTGAATGTATTTACTTTTACCTAAATAAACATTATTATTACTATTATATAGATATTAAAAGTGGGCTGACGTGCTGCTTATAATGTTATATATCTTACTATTATCTATCAGCGAGGGCTTTGTCTCTTATTACAGAATGAATAGACTCAAGATGGTGCAAACAATAAACCGTAATAATCCATTGGATTATTTACAATGTTTGCAAATGGACTGTAGTTGCACACTTCATTGATTTTTTTACCGCCAGAGGTGGATAGTTCATTAAGCATCCCCTATTCAACCAGCGAGTGGTAGTTATTTGTGTACCCCGAAGCCCGACCAGCTGTGTAACCAGGCCCCAACCAGTTGTGTAACTGCAAGCCAAGCATGAACGAACCGAACAAAACTTCTGAAGCACAACCATGCACGAACCGAAGCCCGAATACGTACAACAGGAAGCCCAAGTGACACCCCCAGAGCCCGACCAGTTGTGTAACCGGAGCCCGACCAGTTGTGTAACTGGAGCCTGACCAGTTTAACCGAAGCTCGACCAGTTGTGTAACCAGAGCCCAACCAGTTGCATAACAGAGCCTGACCCATTGTGTAACTGGACCCCGACCAGTTGTATAACTGGACCCCGACCAGTTGTATAACTGGACCCCGACCAGTTGTGTAACCGAAACCCCACCAGTTGTGTAACTGGACCCTGACCAGTTGTGTAACTGTAAGCCTAGCAAGTATACATCTCATCCAAACCCCACTAAGCTAAACAGCTCCAGAGCCCAACCAAACTCCCCTAGCTCGACCAAACAAAAATCTCCTTAGCCCTTCCTAAAATCCTCCACTTGCCCTAGTAACCAACTATGGAGCCATAATAAACAAAAAATTGAGCTATGTACGAAAAAAGAAACCCCGGATTTCTAGCAAACATATAGCCATAGAGCCTTAGCAAACAAACCTGGAGGTCTAGTACACAAATAACCACTGGAGCACACCCATGCACGAACCAGAGCCAGACCATGCACAACCCAAAGCCCAACAAATCACACCCCCGGAGTTATGTAATCAGAGCCCGAACCAGTTGTGTAACCGGATTTCCACCAGTTGAGTAAGCACAAGCCTAACATGAACAAACGAACCAAACAAACTATTCAAAACAAACAACAACTGAAGCACAACCATACACGAACTGAAGCCTGACCATGTACAACCCGAAGCCCAAGTGACATCCCTGGAGCCCGACCAGTTATGTAACCGGAGCCCGACCAGTTGTGTAACCGGACACCGACCAGTTATATTGAATTTTGTAACTAGCTCAAGATTGTAACTTGCTTAGCTAAATGAATTGTGGGGTTCAGTCCCTGAGCTCATTATGTGCCTCTGTAACCCTTTCCACTACCGCCCACAAGATGGGTATGGGGTACATAATAAATGAACTAAACTAAAAAAAAGTCTGTGGCTGCTATCGCGGTGTGCTTGTTTGTGTCGCATCTGAACATAAATAATCATCATTGAGTTTCTTAACATTAATAGCCCAAATTAGCCCATCTTGCTTTTAAATTAGCCCAAAAAGTAGTAAGTAGCGAAATTAAAAATTTGGGAGCGTAGCCCTCAAAAGTAGCCCAATTCGCTACTTGTAGCTCAATCTGGCAACCCTGCCTGGTCTGGCGGACGCTGTTGTCGACCGTCACTCAGCGAACATTTTACTGGACAGCATGTACTATTAATTAATAGTTTAAAATCTTAATTATTTTTCCATCTTTACTTATTTATATATTTATTCGTTTGATCAGAGGTTCTTTTTCCTTGGTGCCTCAGTCCACATTGAATATAGGCGTACAGTATTTGTGGCGAAGAGGTGCTGAAAATATTCTTACGCTGTACCCAGATTTTGTTGGAGGAGGCTAATACATCAGTTTCCAGCCAGGCGGGGATCACAGGCTGCACAATACTGATAAATTATGTAATTCACAGAGATGCGCTGATAAACATTAATATTTTATATATCAGCTATATCTAGCTCTGGTTAGGCCCTATTTAGATTATGCAGTTCAGTTTTGGTCGCCGTACTATAGAATGGATATTAAATTCACTTGAAGTGTCCAGTGTAGGATGACTAAGTTAATTCCCCAAATTAGAAATCTTTCATATGAAGAAAGATTAAGAAACCTTAAGTTGCATTCACTGGAAAGGCGAAGAGTTAGGGGTGACATGATAGAGGTTTACAAGTGGATGAATGGACATAACAAAGGGGGATATTAATAGGGTATTAAAAGTATCAACACAAGACGGTCGGGTCGGCCGAGATGTCCGCTCGGCCGACCGGACAGCACACTGGACTTGTGATCATGTGGTCCTGGGTTCGATCCCGGGCGCCGGCGAGAAACAATGGGCAGTTTCTTTCATCCTATGCCCGTTACCTAGCAGTAAAATAGGTACCTGCGTGTTAGCCAGCTGTCACAGGGTGCTTCCTGGGGGTAGAGGCCTGGTTGAGGACCGGGCCGCGGGGATACTAAAAAGCCCCGAAATCATCTCAAGAAGACAGAACACGAAACAATGGGTATAAATTGGATAAGTTCAGATTTAGGAAAGACTTGGGTAAATACTGGTTCAATAACAGGGTTGTTGATTTGTGGAACCAATTGCCGCGTAACGCGGTGGAGGTGGGGGTCCCTCGATTGTTTCAAGCGTGGGTTGGACAAGTATATGAGTGGAATTGGGTGGTTATAAATAGGAGGTGCCTCGTATGGGCCAATAGGCCTTCTGCTGTTGCCTTTGTTCTTATATTTTATTAAAGATACAGATATAAACTTTGTTTTCAAACATTGAATGTAAATATTTGAAGTATAAGAACAAAGATATATTTAGGATTTAACGATTTCCTATAAATGCAATGGGCTGTGGTGGGTATGTGGGCCTGCGGGCCACTCCAAGCAACAGCCTGGTGGACCAAACTCTCACAAGTCGAGCCTGGCTTGGGGAGTAGAAGAACTCCCAGAACCCCATCAACCAGGTATCAATGATACTTTAAATGCACTCTATCATCATATAGAGAAAAAAATTAACATATAAAATTGAAGTCACTTTAATAATACACAAAACAGAAGTAAAGATATATGTATGTTAATTACGACGCAGGATCGATGTCTAGGTGAATTACAGATTATGTATGTCAGCCACAAACGGGTAACTATCAAAATAAGGCGCCAAGCCGGGGAATGTCATCCACAAGTACAGCTCTAAACTTAATTATAAATCTTAATATACTCTATATCATAAATTCAGAAACAAAATATATTTTAAGATTTTTGTCATTAAAGTATATATTTTGAACCACATACTCATCCCGAGTCTCAGTTTATTGTGCACTACAGTCATCATGGTACCTAAGGGATCCGTGTAATTACACAGAGGAACTTGAGTGGAAGTGGCTTTTGAAGCAAATAGATTTGCTAATCTTTCTGCTTCTTGCTCTGGATGAACGTGATGGGGTGGAGCAGGAGGCGATTTTCCTTTCGTCCTGTTCTGCCTCCAGATGTTACCCAAGGACATCTGCCGGAAATTAGTGGTGCCGGTGGCTGAGCGAACAGAACACTGGACGATTATCCTGTGGTCCCGGGCCACGGAGAGAAACGATGGGCAGTTTCTTTCACCCAGATGCCTCTATTACCTAGCAGTAAATAGGTACCTGGGAGTTAGTCAGCTGTCACGAGCTTCAACCTGGGACCTGGGGGTGGAGGCCCTGTCGAGGAGACACTAAACCCTCGAAATCATCTCAAGATAACCTAAAGGATGTATGCTGATTTAGCTTGGCACACCACTCTAGCCATTTGTCTTCTCTGATTTTTGTAGTTTCTTCATGCACGATAACCCTCAAATTTTAATGTACCTGTTAATTTTTTTTTTTTAAATTTTGCTAGAAATTACCTTCAGTATTTAAAATTGTTAGATTAAGGATCTGCCCGAAACGCTATGAGTGTTAGTGGCTTTACAAGAATGTAAAATCAATGCTATGTTCTCTCAAACCCAATGTATCTTGTATAAAGAAAATGACTTTATATAGTGGGTGGAATTTTCCACACATCTTTGGTTTTACTTAAAATAATTTTCAGATAGGTTGTACATATCGATCCAGTTTGTCTGAGTTTTGGTTTAATAAGTTAAAGATTTTTAACAATATTCTTTGGGAGGGGGGGTTCGTCTATTTCAATGTGGGCAACTTGTTTGGAAACGCCATAGTTTACTCCAGCGTTTTCCTGTGCAAATCTAGACCTTGATATATTATACCTGCCTAGTTTGCTTTCCAGAGTTCATTTTAAGAGCTTTCAGAGACTATGCCAATAATTTAGGTGGTTGGTTGTACATGCTATTTCCTTACAGCAATCTCCTGCTCTGAAGGGATAAGTATAGAGCAACAGGACAGCATAAGTCACTTAAACAGTATAAGAGTTGTGGGAATCCAGTTGAAGGTTTAGTCTAACAAAATGCACCCTTGGTACAAAGCCTTTCACTGTGCTTTTAACTTTTATGAGTTACTGTTTGAACCGACAGAAAACCGATCATCCAAGGACACATGTCTTAGCGTGATTTTGCCCACTAAATCCATGTTAGTTTTGGAGCAAATTGTTTTCCATAAACCTGGAGATTGACCCCTGATCAGACTATCAGGACTACGTTTTAATGAAGTTCAGGAACATAATTAAGCTATTTGTCAAAAGGCAGAGCCTGAAAAGACTATTTAGTAGTAAAAATTACATATCAGACAACCAAGCAACGTCAAGGCATTAGATTAACCAAAGATCCTTAACAGAAAAAAGTTAATATACTGGTACATGTTAACATCGGATTACGAGAGTATTCGGGCCATTAAAATCCCAATATGAACATTAAACCTTTTCCAAGCAAAAACAATTTAGCTCTTATTTACTGCAGAAGAAAATTTAATACCCTTAGTAACATTAGTAAAGAATGGACATTAACTTTTAAATGTACAAGTCATGAATTTGAAAATTATCAAGTGTCAAAGGTTACGCAAAGCCAGCCCAATCTCAATGAAAACACATAACTCGCCAATTCATACCATCTGACATTTACATTCTGGTGTGTAAAAGCAAGTTGATCAATATGTTAATAAAATTACAGGAAAGGATCCACATTTTTATTGAGCTGTGAATTACTCGTCACCATCATCATCATCATCTTCCTCATTGTTGATCTGGAAGTATCTGAGTTCATAAGAGTCCTTGGCAGTTGGGGGTGCTACCACTCTCAGCCAATCACGGAGATTATTCTTCTTGAGATACTTTTTGGTAAGGTACTTTAGATACCTGTTGAAAAGAATATTTTTTTCTTTTAGATTAAATACAATATGTCACAGTAACTTCCTAGTCTTAAAAGTATATGTAAATTTTCTTAACAGATGCCTGCACCCTCCCAAAATTTGCAACATAGCACTCAAACTACAATAGCTCAAATGAACACAGTATTACATAATGTGTGTGTATGTATATAAATTATAGCAGAAAGTTGTGAAGATAGTACTATACTGCATGCAATGTTAAAGGTATCAAGATTCACCAAGGAGACAACTGACCCCCAGGGACACCGGGAAAGCAAGACATTCGAGCATCTTTAAAATGTTGCAAGTATCAATGGCTCCACAAGAGGGATAGAGCAGCATGGAGTGAAGAGATCAAAGTCCACCTTATCAAACCACAACAGTGAGGAGAAAAGAGGAAACACAAGATAAAAATAGAAAAAGGAAAGCAGAAAGAGGGGGGCAGGGAAGAGGTTGTAGGTAAAGAAGGGGAAAATGCCCATTGGTATGGGGTCATCAAGGACTCTCCAAGCAGAAGCAAATAACTGGTGGATAAAAAATGCACTACTGTTAGAGATCTGTCGTGAAGGGATGAGCAGGCTCATGTTAACATTACATGGTTTTACAGTTTGTGTGGAATAACTATACGTACAAAATTAACAAAAGACGGTGATTTGAGGACAATGTACACCTAAATTGTACATAAATGATCCTGGCTTAGTTTAAAGTGACTTGCCAACCATGGCTTTGTTACTATTCTCGAGACCAAATCATATTACATTCCACGGGTCACCAGTAAACAAAATTTAACTGCAAGCAATTACAAACTACTGAATTTTTCCAGATACTTATCTTGGGTCAATAACCATGTTAAGATATATTATAAAGGTTTATAACTAAAATAAGCAAATTGAGATAAAGGCATTGGCTCAGGGATCAGCTATCTTATATGCTGATCCCCTATGCTGTAAATTTTTACAATGTGCATTTATAAAGAACCTCTGACTATAGACTTCATTTAGTGACCAAACATTTTTAATTATACAAAATATTAATTTACTATAAATATACAATATATATAAATAATTAAATAAAACTTAAGTGACTACCCACCTTTTAGAGAAAGCAACATCAGCATTAAGGGTGATCTTGTGCTTGTTGCGTTCCAAAGATACCTGGTTCGAGAAATTGTTGGTCTTGCCATTGACCTTAATACGCTGCTGCAGGAATGTCTCCTGGAAAGTAAATCACAATTGGTACTGTAGGGAAGTTGGCCCTACTAGCACCCAGCTAGGGAAGGTCACCCTAACTGTTTGCTCATTAGTACCAGTAAATGAGCAATGCATGCAAGCTTAACACTTAGGACAAATAAACAGCATAGCACTATTAAAATAGAGCAATGGCTATGCATCCACAAGCTAGGTTCACTAGCCTGAAGTGAATGAATGGCAGTTTCAGTACTTAAAAATGACAAATACAGTATAATTCCACTTTAATGTTTCTCTCCAAGATTTATTAATTTAACACTATCGCTCTCAGTCGACTCGCACTCTAGTTTTAAAATTTTAAAATGTAAATAATTCGGGCGATGAGCGTTCAAAATTTAAAACATGTTAAAATTCTATTTATTTTTCTATTATGGGGCTAGTTTTAAAATACGCATTTATATTACGAACAATTTGATACCAAAATGAAGAGGCAACACGAAAATTGATGGCATCAAACTAAACGAGTACACACACTAGTTTCGAGTGTGCCAAATGGGGCTCATTCACAGGTAACTGTTGGCCGACCTTAGACTTTGATGCAGGGGGAGTCATGGCAGACTTTTTACCTTGTATGCATATACCCCTGTAGGGAATTCTATTGTGTACACAATGATACCAATATGAACGACGTAGCACGAGAATCAAGGCGAGAAAACTGAAACGAGTACACACATTTTGGTGTCGCCGCAGCCTCGCCTGCTCCGCCGGGAGCATGTCGTAGAAGTATGCGGTGCGCCCGAAAGCGATAGTTAAAAGATGTTTAAGGAATAAAACTTGTGCAAGAGGCCTAAAATGGGCATTTTTTTATGTATCATAGTTACTGTACTTAAATGTGTTACACAATCTTATATAGTTCAAGTACAGTGGCACCTCAAGCAACGAGCGGCTCTATCTACGAGCGAGCCACTTGCAGAACATTTGTTTCTACTAACGAGCGTTTCCGCTGGTTCTCGGACACCTTTTACAACAGTTCTTCTGCCGTTTCGCAAGACTACGTTTTCCACATGACGAGCTCGGTGCCAGAACGGATTAAACTCGTTAATCAAGGTGCCACTGTATATAAAGAGCCAAAAGGAAAGCCAAATTTATACCTGCTTAAAGTACAGGGTACTTACAAAGTCTGCAGCATTCATGATACCATCTTCAACGGGTTGACGACAGTCTATGTGGAACTTCAATTGCAGCTTCTTTCCACGTCGACCCTTCCCAACCTTCGACTTGACAACTTTACCCTTCTTTATTTGGACCTGTGGCTTCTGGGGTTTCTTACTACTTGTAGCCTTAGCCTGAGGCTTTGCAGGTTTTGCAGCCTTAGCCTGAGGCTTTTCAGGTTTTGCAGGCTTTGCAGGTTTCTTCGCTTGAGGTTTAACCTGGGGATAAATATATATAAAAAAAGAAAAAATCAGGAACTGTTCACACACATATATAAAAAATAACATCTTATGTTGATCAGTCAAGTGGGTGATGAGCTTGTCAGCATTGCCACTGCCTATGTAATGGGATATAGCATCATGTATAAATAAAAATATGAAGCACAGCAGGTTTCTGCTACAAGGAGCTTAAAGGGACAGAAAACGGTTTTCTGAAATGTCCTTAAACTCTCATACTTTTTTTTGTTTTGCTTAATCTACATGGTTACTACTATCTTTTCATAATGGATTAACATCCTAGCATGAACAAAAATTAAAAATAATTTTAGTAATTTTACAATTTCACTTTCAATTCAGCTTTAAAAATATAAAATGCCACCATTGAATACTTTTCTTTCATAAAATTAACGACAGGACTGTAGAACAGAACATTTGACAATGTGAAAACGGTGAGAATAGATACAGAATTTTTGAAGCTGTATCAAAGTTGAAAATCTAGTTACAGATAAATGAATTGCAATATCTCTGCAATGAAAATGATCTTACTACTTCTTCATTTCCTTGAAAGTTTTAACACATGGGTTGGCAATCATACTCTACGTGATAGTTGTAGTCAGTGTGTTGAAATGAATAATACCACAAAACCCCCCCCAAAAGAAAGATATAATTATAATGGATCGGGTGATATATATGTATACTTTATGTAAATGATAAAGCCCTAATCAGGGGCCATATTCACAAAACAGTTACGCAAGCACTTACGAACCTGTACATCTTTCCTCAATCTTTGGCAGCTTTGTTTACAATTACAGGTACTGTATTAAACAGTCAATGAGCTCCAAAGCACCAGGAGGCTGCTTATAACAATAACAGTTGATTGGGAAGGTATACCGTTGTACTGACAATGCTAATCTTGCTTGATAAGCTGTTCACTTGAGACAGTTAAGTAATTCCCAGCAATGCCTGGTTACAAGTGACAGGATGAACAAACCAGCAGGTTTTCTTCCTATTAGGGAGTGTTTTACATATTGCTATTGCAGTACTGTATGTCCACTTACAGGATGAGGAGTACCGCACAATAAACTTGCCCCCTCGTGGCAAAATTAAATTATCATCGCTGACTTATGCCACAACTTGATTTCTACTGAAATCAAAGTCTGAATGCCCCTACTGAAGCCAGTCCAAGTTTTTACGTATGACCCACAAGCACTTGGGTGGAAGGGCAGAGTGGTCCTACAACATACACCCCAACTTCAGATACACACAGAAATGACACATGAGAAATGAGACAATGAGACACTGACACAATGAGAAATCATTGTGATGTATATCTGAGAAAATAGATGCGTGTCAATTCCTCACTACCTGTATTATTATTTGAAGGTTTGTTAGTATTCAATTTACTTTGTTCATAATTGTTTTTATTAACACTTAGTTTTGTCCCCTTACCAACATCTTGGGTCAAGCACAAAATCACTTTGCTATCTACATTTTTGCTTCCAACACATGCCACAAAGTTAATATGAATGGTAGTGTTTAATTTGGTATCTTTTTTAGCCGTCGAATTAATATTAATTCAGTGTCGGGGATCTGGCAGCCAGTGTGTATTCATACACCTTAGTCTTACATGCCCCCCCCAAACAGGTCAATTTATTGAATTTGACCCAGGATGCAAACCCACAACAAGCTGACTAACACCTCGACACCTACTTTTAGAGGAATAGAAGCACTAGGCGATAGGAAATGTACCCAACCATTTTTGTCCCAACCAGGATTCAAACCAAAAATTCTCTATTGAGAGTCAAGAACAAACCAGAGTGTACTACCGGGACCTAGGGGTTGTACTTTATGATGGCATTTTACAAAATGCAATATAGGCAAAATAAAATGAGGGAAAAAAGAGGAAAGCTAAAGTTAGCTGACATGACGTTGAAAATGACAATCGCAATCATCTGGACGTTCTGGTGTTTTGAGCAAATGACTACTATAGTCACAAAAATCAATGGGCTTTATTATATATATATATTATATATAAATAAAAATAAAGTCCACCCCAGAATTTAATTTCCTAATGCAAATAAAAATTTGTCTAGCATAGCTAACATATTAATTTCATAATAGCCCTTGCCAGAATTTTTATTAAAAAAAAAAAAAAAAACTATAATCAATAGCCAACAGGCAGATTATACAATGGGACCCAGCAAGATTGAAACATGTTTACGTAGTATAAATTATTTTTTGGGGACGACGGCAGTTTACTAAAAGTCTTCTCATTTATGAATAATGAGGCTATTTTTTTACTAGGTTGTAATAGCTAGAGCAGTAAAATCTTGAATAAAGAGTAATTAGTACTGTATTTATAAGTTAAACAAAACAACGAAGTTGTACAAAGGCCTTTCAGCAAGTATTTTTTCTTAATTGAAAACTATAAATTCAATTAGGCTTAAGTTGGGTAGGGTTTTAATTTTGTTTATTATATATATACACAAGTTATTACATTCTTGCACAGCCACCAGCACACAGCATTTCGGGCAAGTCTTTATCGTGTTCCCCAAAATACAACCCACCAAATACAGTAGTTTAATACCAGGAGTGCCTTGCCAACTTCAACACCACTGGGACTTAAAATCTGTTTGCAAACTGCTATGGCTAAGCCGAGACAAGCATCCACTATCCTGGATTCAACCTGGACGCATAAATATATATGGCACAAGCAATCTAATTGATCAAGAACCCTAACAATGCATTTGGCCCATAAGGAAAATAGCCTTGCGATATTCGTAACTGGACACTATCGCACATTGCAAACATACAATTGTTAGGTTTGGTGGGTTTTTGAAAATGTCTTTAGTACGCGAGGTGAAACATGGAACAGTTTGATATATTGGTGCAGTAAACGAGTTAACATACCCATGATTTACATATCCCCATTATTTCTAAAAACAGCTTAGTTTCGATCTAATGGTCATATGCAATTGCATATGTTTGCAATGTGCGATAAACATGAGCAGACCAGTAGATAGAAACCAAGCTGTTTTTAGAAATGATCGGGATATGTAAATCAGGGATATGTTATCTCGTTTACTGCACCAATATATCAAACTATTCTATCAGTGTTTTATCACATATAAATCAATCAAATTTATCAAATATATGAAAGTGTTTTACCTCTCGTACTAAAGGCATCTTAAAAAGCCCACCAAACCTAACAATTTACATGTATACGGATTTAAACATTTAAAACCCAGCCTAAACCTAAGTCACGTGGTGTTGCTTTGAGCGACGGTAACCCAATTTTTTTGTTTAACTTTGTATTAAAAGTCGCAACTTATCGTGCAAGTGTATTAATCCAGGAAAAGTGACCATATTAACAGGGAGTTGTGCAGTATGGCGGCCGGGCGGCGCGGGGTCTAAACATATAGACACAAGACGGGCATGGCGCCATCACGGCAGGCCTCGGGTGGAAATCACTTAACTTCATTAAAAATCAACTCTTCCCAACATCAAATAAATAACCAAACATATAAACACAAACTACAGCACACTTAAGCCTCGCCCTTGTACAACACTGACTGAAATACAGCTATCAGAGTAGCAAGGCGGTGGCCGGCCGCCATGGGCCATGTGGCGTCACTTGCAAAATCAAACAAAATAAAACCCTTAAAACACCTAAACTACGTCAAACTATCTCTCGCATAACGGGCCGCAGGTGTACACACACACACGTAAACACCAAATAGCGCCGACGGGAAGAGATATAGAGGAGGGTAAGAGGAGAGAAGCGAGGAGCAGCTTACCGCCGTCATGGTGGCGAGGAGGGAGGGCGAGAAGGAGCGAGGCGCGGCCCCGTCCACCTCCCTCACCAACTCTATACATCCACACTCACACTACACTTTTTATTTCTTACTCTCATTTTATGTATCAAATTCACTCTAATAAACTCTAATTTGTATAAATTTTATGCTATGGGTGGGATTTGTGACTTCTCTGGAATAGTCATTAGTACGTGATGAGGAGGAGTTGCTCTTTCTGGATTTCTCCTATTTATTGCGCAATATTGTAAAATAGTACAATTGTTTAAATATTAGAGTAAATTAATATTACTTAAATAATTTATAATGGTGCAATAGATACTTTTATACCATACACCGTCTGCGAAAAATAAATTAACGCAACAAATGAACCCTGTCATCCTTTTAATTGACAGCTGGGACAATGCCTAATTGCTCAAGCATTAATGCGCATCATGAGCTAGTTATGCCCAATGCCAGGCGGCATATGATGCCCAAAGGGGCGTGCTAATAGTTCAAATAGCCTCCAGTACGTGTTATTGACAAGCTGGAAGGCAGTTGGCCAATCAGAGTAGCAGCGGCTGGCGAGTGCGCACAACACTTCCACCAACAGCTGCCATTTTTGTTTGGGTAGCACTTAATTTGGGGCTCACTTTCACAGGAAATGTAAGTAAAGAGTGGAGTGTGAGGCGTTGACGTGCCTGGTGAAGGTTGGGTGCGGGTAGCGAGCGGTGAGGGCGGCCACTAGCCAGTTGTGTGTGAGGGTAGAGGGTGTGAATATTTGCGGGGGTGTGAGGAGTGGCATCGATCGACCTCACTTGGAGACGAAACAACTGTCAAATTGTGCCGCACTTGGCCTTCTGTGTCGCTCACCAGCCCACCACAAGACATGTAAGGCCAAGATCTAGTGTCAAGTGTTACCTCTCGAGTGCCTGTGGCTCTAGGAAGGGAGTGCAAATGGGACAAGAGAGGAGAGGAGACGTGTCTTGGGAGTAGGTGTGGGTGCAGGCTATGGGAGCTGCCCACTTTGCTGTCATTATCAGCTGACGAGGCAATATGGGTGGGGTCAGTCAGGACTGTAAGCGAGGCTGACAGTCCTGGCTGACTACAGGGGCTGGGGCTAAAAACTGTCACCTCCTAGTAACTGATCACTGGTTTTTATCTCCCCCCTCCAAGGCTTTTCCAGCTTGTGTGACGTTTTGGGCGTGAGAGTTGTGTATCGTGTGGCATGTATTTCTCTCAACCTGAAATTCTATGTTTGGAATGTTTGAGAATTGCTGGAATATATTGACAATTGAGTGCAGGATCTTTATGTGAAAGTGAATTAATGTTGATACACTCAAGTATTTTGTCAAGGCTAAAAATTATAATTTATTGTAGTTGCATTTGTGTTTTCATTCGTTTTGAATCTTATTCTTGGCCATTTTTTATTTAAAATTTGTTTGAATTGCCAAAAACTGTACTTTCATTCAACTATCAAAAGTCCGAGTTTAGATTTTTTCCCCACATGCACTGTTAATTAAAGGCATTAACCTTTCACTGTGGAAGCGTGACCGAGTAAAACATTAGCTTCCCATGGGCCAAAGCATGTCCTCGATCTTAATAATAAACTGCTTAAGATTATCGTGTAAATAATAGTTAGATTATTGTACTAGTACAAGTGCTAATTATTTTGTGTGTGGAACCATAGGCTATGCGTTGTATGTATTGGCATAAGAGCTGAATATAAACCCAAATTGTATGGATGGAATTTCAGAGCCTAAATTCCGTACGAGTTTGTAGTCGCATCCCTGCGAGACCAACTTTAAACAGAGGCCCACATCACATTTTAATTGTCTCTGGTCTAAAAACTGAAAAAGGACTAACCAGAGTTTTGAAGACATCCGAAAATACATAAATTGAAATAACTGAAAATAAGGAAGACTATGTAAGTTGGCTATGGGATAGTTTGTTGAAGATCCTGGCCATGAAACTAAGGAACAAGTCTAGCAAATTCTATCACAGTACTGTATAATTAAATGTAAATTGATATTGCTGCATATTTAATTAAATGTAATATCAATTACTTGTCAATTAGAATTAGGCTAGAATTATAATATGATGTTGGATACAAGTACTGAAAATAAAATATGGCTAGACTGTTGTTTAGTTTTGTTAACTGGTTTACTTGCATGTGGCTCAATGTAAATGAATAATTAGTAGGAATAATTGTGGCTAAATGTAAGTGAATGAATATGGACAAAAATAATGGAGGCAGAGAGAGAGAGAGAAGAAATTTGTTTGAAATTAATGTGAGTGGTGAAGGCTGGAAGTGGTTGATCAGTTTTTTATACCTGGGATGTGTGATTGCTTCAAGATGAATTATGCAATCTGAGTTGTCTGTTCAGTCAGGGAAGGATGGCACAATGAAAACCTGCCTAGGAAAACTGAAATATGAAGAGAAGCTGCCAGAGATTTGTGTGAAAGTGGTGGTGCCAACACTTTATCCGAGTTTGCCTGAGGGCCACTAAGATTCTAGTGGCTTCGATGAGGATAGGAAGCTGGCGGCTTGTCAAAGGTTCCTCCATTTGTCCTAATTATTTCAAGCTGTATTTTAAAGTTTAACAGTGTTGGCATTTATGGCTTTGGCGGGAAGGTGATTTCGTGGATTTACAACCCTATGGGTGAAAAAGCATCACCTGTTCTCTGTCCTACATTGTGGCTTGTTGAGCTTGAAACCGTTGCTCAATGTTTGTGTTGCATCTAACCTTTTGAAGAAGTTGTTTGGATGAACATCCTACAAATTGTTCAGTACTTTAAGTGTTTCGATGAGATGAGCCCTGTCATATCTGGTTTGCAGTGTTGTTAGCCCTGTGGCATTCCTGGTACGAGTCTTGAATTAGTTCTAGAATTATTTTTGTTGCCTGGTGTTGAGCTTTCTCCAGAGCAGCTATATATTTCCGAAGATGAGGTTTCCATGCTTGGATATAATAATCAAAGTGGGAGTTTTATGTGTGGTTGGAAGGTGATGAGTTCGTATGAACATAGAAAAATTAAGATTTAAAATGGTAGAAATGGATAATCTGAAGTACTCGCCTAGTTGTACTTGCAGGGGTTGAGCTTTGGCTCTTTGGTCCTGCCTCTTGGCTGTCAACTGGTGTATAGATTCTTGAGCCTACTGGGATCTATCAAATCTACATTTGAAACTATGTATGCAGTCTGCCTCCACCACATCACTGCTTAATGCATTTCATTTGTTAACTTCTCTTACACTGAAATTTTTTTTTCTAATGTCTCTGGCTCATCTGGGTACTAAGTTTCCACCTGTGTCCCCTTGTTCCTGTTCCACCCATGCTAAAGAGTTTCTGTCCACCCTGTTAATTACCCTGAGAATTTTGTAGGTGGTTATCAGGTCTCCCCTTACTCTTCTTTCCAGGGACATGAGGTTTATCTCCCTTAGTCTTTCCTCGTAGCTCATCCCTCTCGGTCTGGGACTAGTCTGGTGGCATACCTCTGAATCTTCTCCAATTTTGTCTTGTATTTAACTAGGTATGGACTAGTGTGTATGGTGTTAGGAAAGCAGGCAAAGTTAGAAGTGAAAATGTCATTAAGGTATGTAGAGTGTAAAATTCAATATACAGTACTGAAAGATTGGAGATTGTGTACCTAGATGGATTGGACATGTTGAACAAAAAGATGATGGTAGACTGCTGAAAAATGTGTATTAAGATATTTATTCAGATAAAGGTACATAATTTGAAAATAAGTTAGACATACTGGGTAATGTCAAATTAATAGATAGCTAGAACTATTTAGTACTAGTACTATCTAGAACTAGATAGTACTAGTACTATATTTCTAGTACTATCTAGAAAAGGCTAGTACTGTGTATCGCTAGAACGTATTAGTGGCTGAAGCTACTAATATGCACAGCGTTTTGGGCAACCTTAAGTGACTCAGCTAAGTCCTCCATCATGGTACACATGACAAGAAATGGTTCCCAAAGCTAAAGTAAATAATCACATTTGGCGATTTGAGCATAGAAGGTACTGTAATTGCAGATAGCAACTGAAGCCGTTTAGGGGTTACAGCGATTACGTAAAGGAAGAGTAGAATAGAGGATTTCCTCTACTGCAAGAGTAGAGGAAAATTGTTAAACGTGGTGAGAGGAAGCAGGTGGAAAGTGTGAATGATCTGCGGGATATAGCGCCGGACAAGTCTGGGTTGTGGTACAGTAGTTAGTAAGGAGATTTGATCCTGTATATTAGTATACGTCTAGTCATGAAACAGTTGTGTGCTACTGTGGATGAATATACAGTGCTTGTTTATCACTTGTCTTAATGAATGGATGTGCAGTATTATATTTTATACCCAATTTCCCCATTTACATTAGGGGGTGGAGGCATCAACAGAGAAAAGAATATTGTGAATAATATAAGCAAACGAAGGTTATCAACATTAGTAAAACAAAAAGTATATAATTGTTAAATTATATATTTTTTGTAGTGTAAAACAAAGAATATATAATTTAACAATACTGTAATTATATATTTTTTGTTTTACTAATGTTGATAAACTTCATTTACTTATATTTTTCACATTCTCTCTGGGTTGATGCCTCCACCCCAATGTAAATGGGGGAAATAGGGTAATGATAGAAGCAGCCATATATACATGCAATACACTATCTATAAGACTTTATATAACTGACTCCTTAAATATATCTTCCTTTCTAAAAAAGTTATAAAATTTCTTCTTGGGTAAAGCCACACCCACTAGAGGCAAATGCTAAAGCTGTTTCAACTACAGTATTTTATAATTTACTTTACACCCTCCTTTTTAGTTCTTAATACAGTACTACTGTATTACATTATGTCTGGAAACGGTGAAAATGAGAGCAAGGATGCTGCCGAGCCAACAAGTCTGATTAAGATAGAGAATGATATAGAAAATAAGGAAGAGACCAAAGAAGGTGACAATCAAAAGGAAGGGGTGAAGGGGGAAGAAAAAGCAACGAGAGAGACAGATGGAGCAGAACCCAACCCAGAAAGCAGTGAGGAGTGAGTTTATCATGTGCTTGAGATAAGAGAGTATTTTTTGTACAACTCTTCTCTGCTCAACCATCCTACATAAGGGACAAGTTGCTTCGAGACAAATATCATTCGAGGCAGCAAAACATACATGATATAATGGCAGTGCTCAATGAATGCTGTTTAGTAATGTCATCATAAAATTCAAGTTGACATTTTTTCGTAATTTCTTCCAAGACTATTTCGCAAGAAGCTCTACAATACAGTACTGTACTGCCTGTATTCACAAGCTGAAGTAGGCTGGATGCCACATGTCAGTATGACAGCTTGGATGCAAGTGGCTTGGTTCATTGGACTATGATAAGAACTTTGACAGGTTTCTCTGGATGAGCTTTTTCTCCTTTTCACTTATTTTTTTTTTCTAAACCACAACAATATTACTGTACTGACAAACTAGGTTGCATGAATTGGTTAATTTCACCAAATATTCTTTATAGTTTGATGAAATATCTTTGCATGTTTTGTATTCTATACATTCTTTATTATATAAAGATTTTCCTTTATGAATTTTACATATGAAACTTGAGTGATATGTGCAAACTAAAGAGTGGCTATAAGCAGATTAATTTGCACAAGTTATAAAATTTGCGTCCTGTGATAACACACCCTCTTTAATAAGGGCAAGACTTTTCTAAGTTATGCATTTAAGCCCCAACAAATTTTGAAAAGTGTTACTTGAGAAACTGGTGGTCAAGGCATTTAGATAAGATTATACAGTAATTCATTTTGTCAAGGACAGCCAGCTTGTGTGTATATATATATATATATATATACACATTAAGCTTATATCGAGGTCCGAGGTACAAATTGTCCATGACAGTCGGGTACAATCAGATAAAGCGCAGAGCGCAGTTTCCATGTCGCCACAGCAGGGTGCTGTGTTGGGGGCGGCGCCACAGCAGGGTGCTGTGAATACATATTGCAGATTGCTAGATAAGGGTACAGTACTGTATGTACATTTATAATGCAGTGCTTTACTGTACTGTATGTGACTATGCTGTCTGTGCTGCCATGCAAGTCAAGGACTGATTGGTTGTCTTACTGCAACCCAGCAAGTATGAAAGGTCACAAGGAAGCCATACTAGATACTAACACTTTTGTCAATGACTTGCAACAAAATGTAATTGTTATTTAATGTCATATTTATTTGTTCCAGTCACTAACTTTGTGTATTCTAGTAGTTGCTGTAGCTAATATTGTCATGAGTGAGACTACAGCAAAAACATTGTTTATAGTATGCTGATGTGATTTCTGGAATAAAATTTAGTTTAGTTGTACTGAATTCACAAGAATTTAATGTTGATTATTAATGCCGGTAAAACTTTGCTGCATGGTCCTCTAAATGCTATTAAAGTATTAGGAAATGTTAGATTGCAGAATACAGTACATAGTAAACATGTTTTACTTGTGCAAGACAACTTATCAAGACAGTAACAGAATTAATCCTCTCGACACTTGGCTGATCGGGTATTTTCTCAACGGTTAATTGGAAAAGATATAGTTAATTAGTAACACTGAATGTACAAGCTTTTGGTTTCCAATTATAGAGAACTAGAATCCTGGTAGGCTAATAATGGCTTTGCTGGTTAAAGGCCTTTGGCATTCGAATCTTTCCAATCATTTCTCTCTCTCTCGTTCTCATTTTTCATTGGCCTCTTTGATTAGCTCTTTGCCCTACATTTAGTGTGGACATACTTTCAAAATTTGGGTTTTGAGGTAGACTGACCTGGGTACCTGACCTGTGCCAGGTACTACTCCTAGTATATATACAACTTGGTCCAATTTTGAATTATTGCATGAAACTGCTTTTAATAACATTTTGAATTTTTGTATGAGCTTTCCTGTACTCTTACTCTTTTGCAATCTGATGCATCACTGTATTTTCTTTCAACCTTGTAAGATGTTACCTGCAAAACCAATTAACAGGATACTGTATATGTAATTTTTGGAAATGATGAATGTGACATTTGTTTCAAGATCCATCTCTGCTTTCAAGTCTCATAAATCTATATTGATATTAATGTAAACTTGGGAAAATGGATGCAGGATCGGTGCTGCTAATGAGAACTGTGAGATCATACACTCTAGCACAGGGTGCCAAGTGCAAAAGCACATGCATGGTACGTGAAGCCCTTTCAATTGCTATTGGAAATTAACCAAAACTGTTCAGTACTACACTAGCTACCAGTTAGCCCAGTTGGTTAGTATCTACCCCTAACTGATACCAGGTGGAAGTATGTTCTGTTCATCGCAACAAAGTCCCTTGAGCTTCCCTGCTCCACAACTTTATGGAAAGACTGGCGAGCCAGAAATAAAAGATGGGGGACTGGTAGCCACCGTCTCTTCAGCTCAGAAAAGTGTTTTTCATACTGAAAATTGCCCATAATTTCTTTATTTTTTATTTATATAACAATTTCTAATGCTCCCTAATGTAAGACTACCCACAAAGCATTAAAAATTCAAACTACAAAACCCCCAAATTTGATGAGCTCAAAGAATATGGCCTGTGAAAGATTAAATAAAAACCAACACCACCCATTGGTTCTAGCACATAATCACATAAAGAACATTGTGCAAGGAGCCTATGCTATGCTTTCCAATTTCAGAATTGCTTTTAAATATGTACATGGATGGTGAAACACTAAAGAAATTGTTCACGACCTTTGTGAGACCAAAATTGGAATAGACAGTGGTTGTATGGTGCCCATAATTTGAGGACATCAAACTGGAAAAGGTGCAAAGTTATGCAACTAAATGAGTTCCGGAACTGAAAAACAAGAGTTACGAGGAGAGACTAGAGGCATTGAATATGCCAAAACTAAAAGATAAAAGAAGGTGATATGATCACCACTTGCAAAATACTAAGAGGAATTGACCAAATTGACAGAGGAATTCCTGAAACCAGCAACTTCAGGAACAAGAAGACACAGATTCAAGCTATGGCAACAAAAGTGCAAACAAATATTAGAAAGTTTTCTTTTGCAAACAGAGTGATAAATGGTTGGAAAAAGTTGAGCAAAAAGGGGGAGGAGGCCAAAACCGTTAGTAGTTTCAAAGCATTGTACGACAGAGTACAATACAGTGGTACTTCGGAATACGAGTGTTCCTGTATACGAGTTTTTCGGAATACGAGCAGAATTTCCTCGGAAAATGTGTCTCGGAAGGCGAGGGTTACCTCGGGAAGCGAGTTTGTTGATACACGTACAGGCCGACCTCGCTCGTGCTGGTACAGTGATCGTCGCCTCTCACCTCTCAGTTTACCAGTGCCTCGCACCCAGTGACTATCCCACGTAAATTCCTCACCCGGATTTTCAGTGTTTTGCTGAATTTTTGGTCATTTGACCATAAAAGATATTATATATCTCGCCATGGGTCCCAAGAAAGCCAGTGGTAAGGTTTAACCTAAGAAAATAGTGCTGCGTTTCGGGCGATCGAGTGGCAACACTGAAAAGTGTATACTCTTTTCACTGTCCTGATATTAATTTTCGATTTACTTATTTCATTTTTGTACCAGTGTGTTCGCAATAGAATGTTCTATAAGAATATTAGTATAAAATGTCACACAAGGATGCGTTAGACCGGCACCAAATAAAAAACTACGTCGATTACACTTGTCGTGTCAACAGTACAATGGTTCTACCTCGATGGTGCAATGCTACACCGTTCTTCCAAATAGCCTATGCGGCTATTAGAGAAAACGGAAATTTCATGGCGGACATTTTCAAACTATCCCAAAGTCGATCTCATAACAAATAGAGTTTATAGAAATATTTTTTCTCGTGACTCGTGAGCGTGTCCGCTGTGCGACCTCAACACAAAAAGTGGTAATGCTCTAAAGCGCCGTGATAACGCTAAAGTGTTAAGAAATTGTGTGAATTATGGGAAGAATTGCAAAGTTTTGTTGAAAAAACTCGCCCAGATAAAGCTGTAGCAGGCCGTTGCATTGACCTTTTTAATGGCAGTGTGATGTCTTACTACAGACAAGTGTTAAAATGTAGGGAAAAACAAGTGTCTTTAGACAGATTCTTAGTAAGACAAGCAAGTCTTAGTGGTATGCAGGCAAAACATGCCAGAGTGTGCACACCAGGAAGTCCTCACTGCCTGATGTTATAATGGAAGGGGACTCCCCTTCCAAACAGTAACACCTCTTCTCCTCCCTCCTCCTCACCATCTTTCATACACCAACAGCAAGGTAAGTAATAACTTACAACCTACAAAACATAGTTTTGTAGGTTTATTTAGATGAATTAGGTATAAAAATTTAGCTTGATGTGGGTTTTTTGGGGTAGTCAGGAACGGATTAATTAATTTCCCATTATTTCTTATGGGGAAATTAGCTTTGGAATACGAGTTTTCGGAATACGAGCTGTCTCCAGGAACGGATTAAACTCTTAAACCGAGGTGCCCCTGTACTTGGAAGACAGGGCACGAGTGTAGCGCTCATCCTTTAACTACACTTAGGTAATTACACACATCCCCAGGAAACAGCCCATAACAGTTGTTTAGCTCCCAGGTACCTATTTACTGCTAGGTGAACAGGGCATTTGGGTGAAAGAAATAATGGACATTGTTTCTGCCTCAGGTGGGGAATCGAACCTGGGCCAGGCTCTGAGCATTGTTGATTCAGCCATGAGGCCCCTAAGGCATTGTGGTGCTCTTGCCATGTTGGCAGTTGGGAAATAGTACCCAGTTGGACCAATTAGTAGTTAAACTGTAACTTGGTGGGTTTTTGGCTAGTTTCAAGTATAGTAACACTTTGTGGCAAGTACTTTTAAGTGCTTTAAAGGCTCCTTGCAGGCTTTGCACTTTTGGATCTTCCTAGCATTTAAAATTAATGCTTTATCTTTGAAATTTCTCTAGATATAAACAAAATTATATATATTGAGCATTATCACTAGATCAGGTTTGCTAGTGTTCTTGTTGCATCCATTAGATTATTATCGAAGAACGACTTTAGTCTTTAAATATTGATACTGTTTTTGTATTTGTATTTATCTAGCACTTGTTAGCTTTTCTGCTGGCTGTGCTGACATTTGTTCAGCTAGGTTGTCATGAGTTTGGCTGGTGATACCTGCCAACTCTCATAACAAGTAAGATGGCTTGTTGATTAACTTGTGTGTAATAGAATGTATTGTATAAATATACTCTTTTATTTGCAGGCTTGAAGAAAAAGCAGCCCTGTATGATAAAGCTCATTGTTTTACAAACTTCTTATTATTAACAATTTGTACATATATCATTTATATAAGAGACCTGGCCTTTGTAGTTTAATATTAATGTTGTGTGTTGTCAGGTGTTCCAATATGGCACTATGGTTAAAAATACTCTTGCAGTTACTATTTAGGAAAATATGTTCTCAAGCTGTCTATACTGTAGTTCTGTTCTCATCTAAAGTGAGTTTTTTTATAAATATTTTATGGTATTAAGCGCAAACACCACTCCATACTTCAGCCAGTTAAATAATTGTTTGAAATCCTCAGTCAAGTTCAATGTTTCTTCAGCGCGAGTAACTTGTGTAATTTCTAATAAACGTGTTGGTTTATAGGTCAGCCGAGGGTGGCGCGGCAGTGGCAGGGGGTGCTGCTCCTGGGGGCGACCCTCCCACAGGAGAGAATGGAGAGATTGTGGGGGGACCCCGTGGCCCACAACAGGTCGCAGCACAGAAACGAATGCAACAGACTCAAGCACAGGTTGATGAGGTATGAGTGTGTCGCTCAGTTGGGATGTGTAGCAGTTTAACCGAGGTGGTGGTCCATTGTAGGGTAAGGTGTTAAGAAGGGTACACAGAAACTGGAGGATTATAATAGAAATTGGTTCTGGCTTGGCATCATAAGTAGGGTATTTAAGACTAGATGAGTAAAGGAAAATAGTTTTTAGGGCTTCTCCTCTCAGGTGTTTGTGCTAATTTGATTTTTTTCATTCAGTATTGCAAACATAGTCCTTTCTCAAAGATTTATGAAATTCATTACATATAAAACTTTCTATTTTGTGTCTTTCTGAAGTATTAAGATTAGGAAGGCTTCAGTTTGAAATGAAACTTCAATACTAGGCAAAAGGCCTCGTTCAATTGATCTTGCTGTAGAGACATTGCACTCTTAGTAATGAATAACCGAAATGGAGCTTGTGTTTTACTGGGTGTGATGTAGTACATTTTATATAGAAATAGTGTTGAATTGAAGCACAGTACAGTATTTGGAATATTGGGAAAGAGAACAACTTTAGACTTAAATATTTAAGTGTTGCATCATTATAAATTTTTAAACGAAAATAAAGATGCTTAGAATTTGAAATATAGGACTTTTTTATTTTTTTTAATTCAAAGTTGTGATTGCTTTATAGATGCTGATTTTTACAAATGTTAAAGTAATTCCTAAAAATTAGGTCAAGGAGAAAATCAATAAATTATTCTCATCGTGACATTGAAAAAGGATAAAGTCATTTGAATTAGGAATTTATGCATTATCCCAAATTCATTATATTCTGCCTTGCTCAAAAACTTTGAGGATAGACATGACTTGCAATTATCTGGTTGTAATGTAATATATTATGTGGAATTTATTTGGAATTATTGTTAGGACATGATGAAGAGGAGAGAGAATGTTACTAAAGTTGGTGTGAATTGTTGCCTTTTGCCATTGTCTTGTGTGGGATCCTTTAAACATTGCATATTTTGATATAATTTGTAGGTTTCAAAGAGGATTTAAGAATGGCATGTCATGTTGTTTTATAGCATGACTGATTGTATCAGGATATTTGGGTACTAAAATCAAATTATTTTCAAATTTTTGTGATTTAAATACTGTTTAACATATAAAGTGCTTTAAACTGTTGGATAATGTGGTGGTGTTTTAGCCATTTTATATATATATATTTGTGCCAAGCTCACAAATAAAAGACCAGTGTGTGTTGATGTACTGTACAGTATATAGTTACTGGGAGGTAAACCTTAGTGTTGTAGCTAGATGAGAATGTCCCCGGAGCACTCTTGTCTGGAGCTGTTGCCATCACGACAACAACGGCTCTGCTCACATAATCATTTTTAACCCACAGACTGTCTCTTTCAAGTCCTGTCATTTCCTGTATGTACTAATGTGGATTCTGTCGTTATTTGGCAAAGGTCATTTACTGAGAACTGCCGTTTCGTTCTCTTAAATCAAAGTCGAAAGATGGCTAATGAGAAGTTTTCATAAAATTTTAGTGGTTTGAAGTAAGTGACCTTCATATATAATATGCATACATATACAGTATACCATATAAACAAATTATATATATACTGTATATAAATAATATTGTGCATATATATATACTGTATATGTTGTGCCTATGTCTGTGTTTTCACTGAGAATTTTTATATCTAAGAAGGATTTCTTAATTCATATTTTTTCTTTTAGTCAGTTAAATATTCTTCAGTTACTAATGTAAGTCGCTTAAAAAGTCATTGCCATTCTATCAATAGCCAAAGCTTATACTGTAGTAACAATATTCCCAAGTGCCACTTATTTTTTAACATTAATGGTAAAATTGACCTAATTTCTTGTGGGATGGAGCAGGTTACCTCAGTAATGTGTAGGAACGTGGAACTCGTGATGATCAGAGATGGGAAACTGTCAGAGCTTGAGGCCCGCGCAGGTAGGCCCCTGAAGTGCACGTCCTAGGAAGTGATGTGGGCTGTTGTGCAGTGTTTTTGAACATGACAAGTGTGTTTGTAGCACTGGTGGAGGTGTTTGTTGTGTTCGGTTGATTTAGGTTATTAAAATCCACTTGGTAATATGAATTATTTGTCTTTGTATTTCATGGGGGTTTTATGATTTTAAGATCAAAGATAATGATAAATTAGTTGGGTTCTTACTAAATGTTGGAAACGTGAAGATAAAAATTAAATTATGAATTATTTTTGATAATTTACTGGTATTGCTGGTAACTTGGCACGATTTTGAATTTGTACACTTATCAGTACTGTACTAAGAGGCACTTGACTAAAAATGACAGCAATGGTTTTATCATTATCATAAGCTGAAGAGATCATCCTAAAGCTTCAAAGCTCTCACAGTTTCTCATTCTCTAGATGCTTCACAAGTTTTGAACTTATTTCTCGTTGAACTGATATGAGCTCAAGTTTGGCTGCCTCATTGCTGTATATAAACGGCATACGAAACTTCATGTAGACTTGTACTGAAAGTTAGCTATATAATGATAGTGGTTAGAATAAGAGAAAATCCTTCTTTACTGTAAATTGTAATTAATCTATAGTATGCTATGAAAGGTAAAATTTTGAAACAGTTTTCAGAAAATAGGCCTTGCAATTTCTCAAGTTAAATTTACAAAGAAAAGAAACAAACTATATAATACAGTAGTTGGAGATGAAAAATGCTTTAGTCACCATTTAACTAACCTAGGTAAAAAAAAAAATTTTAAAGTAAAATATTTTTATGCCACTTGCTCCCATTTTCTTTTTTCTTTTTTTTGTGACTGGCGGATAACTTGCGAGCTTTCCTTAAATATTTTCATACGGAAAATTACTAATTGTATAGTACAGTACATTGCTAAGGAATGGAAGTGTAAATTTACATATATATACAAAAATTGGTCAGAATGCGAAAAGTTCAACAAATTGTTAGGTCCTTAAGGAACAACGATGAAAGGAGTTTTATTTCAGTTTGAATTTTTGTTTTTTGTTTTATTCTTGCACTGCTTGCATTTTTGTTTGGCAAAACAGGTTGTTGGAATAATGCGAGTCAACGTGGAGAGAGTTTTGGAACGGGATCAGAAACTTTCGGAACTAGATAACCGAGCAGGTGAGAGTCTTAAGAATGTGGGCCATCTTGGATCTACTTGCCTGCCCGCTTTAGGGAGACTTGCTGGGGCTTATGCTTACACTAGCCACTTGGGACTTGGGACAGGTTGCATACTAACCCATCTTAATCTTGCTCCCTATAACATTAACTTTATAGCTAAATAATTAATTTTGACAGAGAAATGGTTTGTCAGATATGGTGTTTTGGAAGTTATTGGGTTGGAAATTCCATAGGTTTGGATGGAGAGGCTGTTGTGGGCAGGTTGTCAGGGGCAATGGCACTTGGGCACTAATATTGTGTTTTCCTGGCTTTTAACTTTGTCTTAAATGCAATATAAACTATAGTAGGGTTTCTCAGATGCTGTGGGAATCAAGAATGCAGTATGTACTGACCCTAAGTATTGCCACTCTGAGGCACTGGAAAAGGTAGCTGACAGGTCTTGGGGTCTTGAAGAGCCTAGAACCATAATATATATATGTTTACGTGCTGATTTTTACCAACTAGACTAAAAACACATCTTGTCCATTTCTTAACAATCTTAAGGTACAATCAACTAATTTAACTAAAGTACTATTAGCATTTGAAGAAATTTGAAGTATAATGTCATTTTTAAGGTCATATGTAGCCTAACATTAAATGTTAAATTGAAAGGCATTATAAATTAATTTTTTCTAACTGTATACAGTACAGTATAGTAGTTTTAGCGTTAAGGTACAGTAATTAGAAAGGTGGTTATGGTGGCAGGGGAAGAGAAGGCCAAGCTCCTAATACTCGTCTGAGCTGTACTTTACTGTAATTTGCTGTGGTTGTCTTATGAAAGGGAATATTTATTTCATTAGTGGTAGTCATATTTCAAAATATAGTTCATATTTTGTTCTTGTAAGATGCTGTACTATATTATTAAATCCCTGTTTTGTCAATCGAGGAGTAATTGTACATCAGTTAGTTGGCTATCTGTGGACACAGTTTTATGGATGATAATAGATATACCATCATCCCTTCCTTGCCCCAATAATCTGCCCCTCTCCAAGTGCACAGCACAAAAGATCAGCACAGGCAACAAGGTGCTCTGTATCTGAGGAGGTTGTAATAAATCTGTTGGACACGAGTAAGGCTGAAGGACCAGGCTAACTAGTCATTTGCTAGTTAGCCAGGCTAACAAAACATTGGAGAATGGAGAGCTCCTGGACTCAGAAAAAACAGTAGAAAGCAGAAACAGGAAGCCCTGAATTGCTGTCCAGTCACTAATGCTCATTCCCTGCAAAGTACTAGAATAAATAGTGTGTGGACATGAATAATCTAACCCAGGAGATTAGATTTCACTTTTCAAACTTTGCTTTTTATGGGAAAATGGTGGCAAGGGTAGAAGAATTTCTGCCATCCATACCTTGAGCTATTTCATCTAGGTTTGAGCCCTGGCCAGGTTGTGTTGGCTGTCCTTAACAGAACAATAGTCCTTAACTGTTCGCCTTTACTCACCCAGCAGTAATTGGGGACTTTGTTGCAAAACCAATTGGTGGTTCATGGTCCAGGAAGAACTAGTGGGGTAAGGTTTAACGTGAGCTGTTATGTAAAAGGAAAGTCTACTACTCTCATGCCCATCATGTGTGTAAATAACAAATTATGACTAAAGAAAGAGCAATGATAAAGGATGACTTAAATAAGCTAAAAAGTTTGGTCAGAAAAGGTTACTAGAATAAAAAAAACCTGGTGTTGGTATTGTCAACTTCTAACATAAAAGGCACATGTAGCACACAGGCTTTATTCCCATTAATTTTTAAAATGGTTGCATATGACCTTAAATTTAACACGAGGGTTGCTTTGATACGATTTTTTAGTATTTTTGGATAAAAATGTGAGAGTTGCGGGTAGTAGAGATGAGACATGTATGTACTGTACTGGGC